TGTCCATGTCATGGGTCCTGCGTATATGTTTTTTGGCTACTCTATTCCCTATGTTGTGCTTTCCATCCCCGTGACTATTCTGTAACTATCAATTTGTACATCTTAATTTCCTCACTTTTTTCTCCCATCCTCCAGACTCCCCCTATCTTGCAGCCATCAAAATGTTCTCTGTATTTATGATTCTATTTCCGCTCTGCTTATTTGTTTACTTTGGTTTTCAGATTCATTTATTAATAAATATGTATTTATTGCCATTTTGTTGTTCATATTTTTGTTCTTAACATTCCCTATAATACCGATTTGGTGGTGATGAGCTTTTTTAGCTTTTGCTTGCCTGGGAAGCTCTGTATCTGTCTGTTGATTCTAAAAGATAGTGTCACTGGGTAGAGTAATCTCAGTTGTAGGTCTTTGCTTTTCATCACTTTGAATATTTCTTGCCAATCCCTTCTAGCCTGCAAAGTTTCTTTTGAGAAATCAGCTGACAGTCTTATGGGAGCTCCCTTTTAGGTCACTATTTTTCTCTTGCTGCTTTTAAGGTTATCTCTTTGCATTTAACCTTTGAAGTTTTAATTATGATGTGTCTTGATGTGGGCCTTTTGAGGTTCATCTTGTTTGGAACTCTGTGCTTTCTGGACTTGTATGTCTATTTCCTTCACCAAGTTAGGGAAGTTTTCTGTCATTATTTTTTCAAATAGGGTTCCAATTTCTTACTTTCTCTTTTCTCCTTCTGGCACTCCCATGATGCCAGATTCTCTCAGAGGCTCCTAACGCTACCCTCATATTTTTGGATTCTTTTTTCTTCTTGCTATCCTGAATGTTTTTTGCTTCCTATATCCAAATAGATGACTTGATTCTTTGCATCATCCAAGATTCCCTGTAAATTGCTATTTATTTCAATTAACATTCCCTTTGTTTCTGACTGGATCTTTTTTTTATGCCATTAAGGTTTTCACTAAGTTCACTGAGTATACTTACAGCCAGTGTTTTGAACTCTGCATCTAGTAGATTGCTTATCTCCATTTTGTTCAGTTCTTTTTTTCTAGAGTTTTGCTCCGTTTTTTCATTTGAGCCATATTTCTTTGTCTCCTCATTTTGACAGCCTCCCTGTGTTTGATTCTATGTATTAGGTAGAGCTAGATCTCCCAGGACTGACAGAATGACCTAATGTAGTAGATGTCCGGTAGAGTCCAGTGGCACAGCCACCCCTATTACCCAAGCTGGGTACGCAAGGGGTGCCCACCATGTGGGCTGTGTACACTCTCCTTTTGTAGTTGAGTGTTGATTGCTGTTGGCACGTCCAAGGTTAGCCACTGCTTGTATTCTGTCCAGGGCCACTCAGCACGAGCTACAAAGCAATCTGCAGAAGGCTGCTACTTTTCTGGGCTTGAAGGTACCTGGGCAAAACCCAGTTGTGAATCAAGGCCAGCTGCTGCGAGTGCCAGGCCTTGGGCAACTTAAGGAGAGATATGGGGCTCACTGAAGCCAGACATTGCTTGTTTTAGAGAATTTAGAAAAACCTGAAGCAGGGGCCAAGGCAAGCCATTCATATGGAAAAGCCACTGAAAACAACTTCTGTGGGCCCAAAAGTTAGGCGGGCAGGTCCTCGGGGAATCAGCAGGATGGGGCAAACAGTGTGAGCCCTATTGATGGAATCTCAGATATGGTGCCCGCCTGCCGGCTCTGTGGTTTTGTAGCGGGGAGGACTCAGGAGAGGAACAGTGACCTCTTTCAGCACTTCTCTTCTCCGGCAAAAAGCTGATGCCAGACATTTAAGTTCCTCCCCATATGTCTCTGACACCTTTCAATCTTCCACCCCTATGCTGGAGCTCAGAGGGAGTGAGTCTGAGTAAGTCTGCGCATGGGCCCTGTAAGACTCCAGGGACTCGAGGAGTTTCTGTCTTCCAAAGCCTCAGTGCGCACTGGTTTTTACAGCCAGAAGTTATGGAGACTTAACTTCCTGGCTCTGGAACCCTGGCCTTGGGAATCTGGTAGGGGACTGGGAGCCCTCATTCCTGAGATATCCCTCCCAATTTTTATCCACTACATGTGCCTGGGGGACCAGCCTGTTCTGTGTCTCTGCCCCTCTTACCAGTCTCAATGTGTTTTCTTCAATTCTGTAGTTGGAGGACTTCCATTCAGCTCAACTTCTGATGGTTCTGAATGATGGTTGTTCTATAGTTTAGTTGTTATTTTGATGTGGTTGTGCAGGGAGGCGAGCCACATTTACCTACGCTACCATCTTGACCCTCAATAAACTCTTTTTTGTGACTGAACACCTGGTCAAGATTTGTTTATGGTCAACACCCTCCATCTGCCAGCCACTGACAACTATCGGTCTGTATTTTGCCTCTAGAAGTTTGACCACATTGGAAACCTCATATAAGTGGAAGCATATTACTTTTCTTTGATGTGATGTGTCTATTTCACTGACCAGATGTCATCAAGATTCACCTGTATGACAGCAGGTGACAGAAACCCTTTCCTTTTTAACGCTGAATAATATTCTATGGTTGTATATTCCACATTATGCTTATCCCTTCATCTGCAGAGGGACACTTAAGTCACTTGCCACATTTTGGTTGTCGTGCATAATGCTGCCCTGAACATGAGTGTGCACATATTTTTAGAGTCTTTGTTCTCAATTCGTAGGCTATATACCCAGAACTGGAATTGCTGGATTGTATGTTCATTCTTTTTTCAATTTTCTGAGGAACCTCCACACTCTTAGGTACACCCGCACCCCCCATTTTCACTCACCATCCGGTGGCAACACAGGTCACCTGCAGTCTGGGCCCATCTCCTGATCTCCAGACCTTCCTCCCTGCCTCTCTCACTGACATCCCTCAGGGAATATCCAGTGACTGCTCAGAATGCACGTCACCCTCAAACCCCCGCTCTCTGAGTCCTGCACGCTACACCCCTCCATCCACCCAGGGGCTCCAGGAAAATATTGTGGCACCATCCTTGCCCCTCTTTCCTCACTCCTCACATGCATTAGAAAATTCAGGGAACTCGACCTTCAAATTATATCCTCCTTCCTGCATTGTGTCCCCGGTCCCTGGGCCGTCACCTCCTGCCTGGAGTGGACAGTGCTGCTGTGCCACAGCTCCTCTGTGCTGCCCAGGGCTCACTCCAATGACTATGGACAGAGCAGCCATTGGGGTCCTGGTAAAGTTAAGGTCTGATTCCATGCCCGCTCTCCTCAAAGGCTCCACAATCTTCCCACAGCGCCACAGAGGCCCACAGCGAGCTCCCCTGGGGCGTGTGACACCCTCCCCGCTGCGCCCACACCCTGGCCTCCCTGGGCTGTCACATCAGCGCCTTGTCTCCAAAACACCAAGCCTACTTCTTTCTCAGGGCCTCTGCGTTCAGTGTTCTTCCTTTTTTCTCTTTTTGGGAACTTTTCTCTTAAACACACAGCCTGCTTCCTCCTTGCCCCCACTCTCTGTTCAGACATCACCTCTGTACACACTCAGAAACAGAGAACCCTCCTCATGACACACGGTCATTTCTCTGTGCAAGTCTCTCTCAAACATCTATCAATATGTGACATGCTCTTATTTTATTTCTTACTTCTCATTTTCACCCTTGTCTCCACGATCACAGCACTCTCAAGAGCTAAGAGCGTCTCAGTCCCTTTTTTTAATGGGAGTAAAACATGCAAAAAATAAATCCATTTTAATATTTCATAAGGTACAATTCAGTGACACTAGTGACATTTCTAATGTTGTGCAACCACCACCACTGTCTATTTCCAGAACTTGCCACGATCCCAAACAGAAATTCGGCACAGTTACAGAATAACACCCATTCCTTGTCCCCTAGATCGGAGCAGCCCCCAATCTCAATGAATTTGTGTATCTTAGCTCAGATGAGCAGAATCATACATTTGTCTTTCTGTCTCTGGCTTCTTTATTTATCATATTGTTTTCAAGGGTTCATCCATGTTGGAGCAGGTGTCAGAATATTAACTACTTGTTTTTAAGGCTGAAAGCTGTTCCATTGTATGTATGTGCCTCCTTTGGTTCCCCCATTCTTCAGAAGCGGGACACTGTCGTAGGCACTACAGCTTCTTTGAATAATGCTGGTATGAACTATGAAGTGCAAGTACCTGCTTGAGTTTGTGTGTCCAAACCCTTCAATATATACCTGGGAGTGGATGTGCTGGGTCATATGGTTATTCTAGGTTCAACTTTGGAGAAAATTCCAAAGAGTTTCCCATGAGGCTGCACCATTTTTCTCTCTCACAAGCAATGCACAGATTCCAGTTTGTCCCCATCTTGGCCAACGCTAACTTCCTGTTTTTTGAAACACAGACTCTATGTCCTAACCATTGTGAAATTATATTTAATTGTTGGTTTGAGTGGCACTTCCCTAATGACTAATGTTGGTGACCATTTTTTTTAATGTGTTCATTGGTCATTTGTATACCTTCCTTGCAGAAGCATCTTTTAATGTCTTTTGGATGGTGGACATTCTTGAAGCTGTATTCCCTGATGCCTCTCTGGGGTCTACAACAATGCTAGTACACAGTAGGTATTTGATAACATTTGATAAAATGAGTCTATGAATAAATGAATGAATGCCACTCTGCTTAAAACTATACAATCACACACACACACACACACACACACACACAATCAATGGTGTGGCTGAGAGTGAGAGAAGATCAGGATTTTAAGATGTAGGAATTGGGGCCTGGCTCGTGTGGCTCAGTGAATTGAGTGTTGGCCTGTGAACCAGAGGGTCACTGGTTTAATTCCTGGTCAGAGCACATGCCTTGGTTGCGGGCCAGGTCCCCTGTGTGTGGCCCATGAGAGGCAACCACACATTGATGTTTCTCTCCCTCTCCTACTCCCTCCCTTCCTCTCTCTCTAAAAATAAATAAATAAAACCTGTAAAAAAAGACGTAGGAACTGGTGCAGAAGAGCATTTCAGTCGAAGGAACTGCACATGCAGTCTCAGAGTCACCAAGGCCCTGGCCAAGCTGGCTGTGGAGATGGTGTGAGGTCCAGAGACATGCTAGAATCTTGTGTCGTGTTCAGATGGGAACAGACCATGCCAAGTCTTCAAGTCCAGCCTGTGTTGTTTGCACCTGGGTCTCTGGTCACAGAGAGGAACCGTCAGTGTTCATACTTTGCTGACAGTGGGCATGTCTCTGGAACCACTATCTGGAGGCCTGTGTTGAGGGGAGAGATAGAAGAGAGAGGCTGATGTGTTCAGAGACCCAGGGAGGAGATCAGAACACAGGTATGACCAGGGTCAGACGGGGAGAAAGAAATCAGAATCAGCTCTTATTAGGCTCAAGAACACATAAGACTTAGTGATTTATTGGATTGGGGGGAAGGGAACGAGGGCAAAGTGGAGAACTGCACCTCACTTCGGCCTTAGAGAAAGGGGGCCCTCGTGTCTCACTGCGAGGGGGAGCCCAGCAAAGAAATGGGTTTGGAAGGAAGTTGGCAGCTCAATTTTAGCAAAGATGAGTGGAACAATCTGGGGGAGCAAACAGGGGAAGGTGTCTACTGGATGTTGACAGGTGGAAGTCTGCCTCACTCACCTGAGGGGCCAACCTGGGACAATGTCTTCATCCTCCACGTCTTCTGCAGTCCTGGCTGACTTCCTCATGCAGAACTTCACTCTGAGAAAATAGATTGTGGTCTTTAAGGATGATGAGATCAGGGTATAATGGGCACCAGACCCTGTTCCTTCAAATCAGCTCAAAGGGAAGCTGAGGCAGCAGATGTCTGGTTTGGCCCCACAGACCACCTTGAGCACAGCAGGTACTTCTCATCCTGGACATTTGCTGGGCGCTGCACTTAGGACAGCTGCCCATGAGGGATCTTCACTCACCAGCCCATCAGCCTCCGGGGTGTCCCATGCCATGACCCATGCACACCCTATTACTGGTTCTGGACTCAGCCACAAGCCCCCTGTCTTCCCCTTGCCTCCCTATCCCCCTGGGGTTGAGCTTACATGAGGACGATGAGGCAGAGGAGAAGGACCAGGGTCTTGACAGCTGCTTCTGCAATGACCACCAGCACCATCCCTGCCCTGGGTCCTAAGAGATTGGTAAATGTGACTATGCACATAAGTAGATCCCTACATTGTAAAAACCCACCGACCTCCAAGAAAAGGGTGGTGGCATGCTGAAGAAACTTGTACCTCATATTACAGAAAAACATCTAATTCTTTTAATTTGAAAAATGTTTCCAAGAATGAATAATAAAATTCAAGTCATGCAGAGGACTGAGCAAAGAGCATGGACAGTTCACAGAATGAAAGACACACACATGACTCCATCATAAAATGCACATTCAACACCATTCATAACAGGAAAAATGCTAAGTAAAACTGTGTGGAGAGTCCAGTTTTCACTTGATAGTGTGTATACTCTGTTTTGTCCTACCCTGGTCTGGTGAAATCTTCCACACTTTCTGGGAAACAATTTGACAAGTTTTCAAAAATGGAGGATGTGGAGAAAAGGTCACCCTTGTGCACTGTTGTTGCAAATGTAAATTAGTGCAGCCACTATGAATAACTGTGTGGAGGTTCCTCAAAAAAAATTAGAAAGAAACATCGTGTGAGCCAGCAATCCTCTGTCTGGCATTTATGTGAAGAAAATGGAATCACCAGCTTGAAAAAGTATCGGCATCCCCACGTTCATTTTAACATTATTTACAATCGTGAAGATATGGAAACAAATGTCCATTGAGAGATCACCTGATAAAAAAGATGTGATATATAAACAAAACAAATAGAACGGACTCCTGTCATTGGTGACAACATGAATAGAGCAGGAGGTCAGTTTGCTCTGTAAAATAAGTCAGAGAAAGACGAATACCGTTTGATCCCACTGATTTGTGGAATCTTAATAGCGAACAAATATCAAATTCATATACAGGGCCGAGGGGTAGATGCAGGAGGCAATAGACAAGGGGCGGGTCAAGGGGTGAAGACTTGCGGTTATAAAATAAATAAGTGCCGGGAATGGAATGGATTGCACGGGGGCCGCACAGAACAGCGCTGTCTAGTGTACTTGAATGTTGCTAAGACAGCAGGCAGGGCGAGTCAAACGTGGGTTTACCTCTGTGAGCATGTGAAACACAGAGTTTATTCCGGGACTATCATTATTAATTATTATATTATTTTCCACCTGAGCAACTGCAAACCTACTCTTTCCCCACCCTGTATCTTAAAAGTTTTCGTAAGAGAAAAAATTATAAATAAACGTTTATAAATAAAAAATTGCGAGAACACACAACTCAGCTATGTAACTTTCAGGGATTTATCCCCATCTTGCACACACGTGCACACATGCCTGTGGGATTGGACATGATATAATTCATTGCAGCATTTCAGTTAGAAAAATAAAATGATCATCATGATTTTGTATTAAAAGAGAATGCCAACAAAATCGGAATGTCCCCATGCAATGGAAGACTCCGGTCACCAAGCAGAATGAGGAAAGTTGGTACTGCTGATATCAAGTGACCTCTTAGATCTTCTCCTTAAAACTCCATGAGGCCAAACAGAACAATTTCTAAGGAGAGGACAATTACCAGGCATCTATTAGTTGGAAAATTTCCAGAGATCAAAAGTGCCTGGTTCTCTGTATAGTGTCTTTACGCAGAGCAAAGATATCTCCTTGAATATACGGTGCATTCAGTCCAACATCGGAAAGGCCCACAGCACGCCCTGGCTGGTGCGGCTCAGTGATCGAGCGCCAGCCTGTGAACCGAAGGGCCGCCAGTCCAATTCCAATCGGGGCTCATGCCTGGGCTGCAGGCCAGGTCTCCAGCTGGGGCTGCTTGGGGGGCAACCACACATTGATGTTTCTCTCCCTCTCTCCCTCCCTTCCTTCCCCTCTCCCTAATAATAAATAAATAGATTCTTTAAAAAATAATATATTTTTTAAAAAAAGAAAAGGCCCATGGCATTCGAGTGAATGCCCTCGAATAAAGGCAACACTCGACCTATCATAGGAGACAGACTAAAAATTAGAACCTTAAAAATATTGGCCCAACATGCAAGTGAATTCATTGCCTTCAAGAAAAAGGACCAAGTTTTTTAAAGAAATACAACAAAACCAAGCATCAGCCACGTAAAACTGACAATGTCTACCACTCAGTGAAAAGTTCCTAGGCTTTTTCACTACAGAAATATGAACATGCAACACTTCATAAAAGAAAAACCATTCACTAAATCATGCTCAGATATGACAGAGGACATGGACTTACCAATGACGTTAAGAGATTTCTTACAAATATGTTTCATATACTCAAGGAGGTAAAATAGAGCATTACAGTAATAACAGAAGAAAAATAACAAGCGAAGGAACGGTAACTTCCAGAGGCGAAAATACATGATCTGAAACTCACATTTCACTGAATGAGATTAACAGCAGGTTCAACACGGAGGATAATCAAAACACTTGAGCATGTAGCCATAGCTCTTCTTACAACTGACAAAGACAGAGAATAAAAGCTGGATAAAGGTGCACAGATGCTCAGGGCCTGTGAGATAATATCAGGCAATGTAACACATGTGAAATTACAGACCGAGAGAAGAACAGAGAGAAAGGATAAAATATACATGTACAACTAGCTTCGATATTTTCAACTTTGATTAAGACTTTACATCCAAGCCCAAGACACTGAACAAATTCCCAATAGGATCAAATCTCTCTCTCCTTCATTCTCTCTCTCTCTCTCTCTCTCTCTCTCTCTCTCACACACACACACACACACACTCATACACACTCATACACTTACATCCCATATCAATGCAGATATTAATCTAATCATTTAGCCCAGTTTAAAAAAATAAATTAAAACCTGCCAGAGAAAAAGACAAACTTTGAGTAAGGAATGAAATAAAAATTACAGCAGAATCCTCATAAGTAACTATGAAAGCCAGAACAAGTTGAAGAACTAAAAAAGAAAATGTTTTTTAGAATTCCTTATCTCATCTAAAAATAATATTTTCCAGAGCTAATTAAACATAAGCATTTTCAAATAACTGTTGAGAGAATTCATCACCAGCATACCTACACTACAAAAAATATACGAAGAGGACTTCAGGCCAAAGAAAAATGAGAGAGACAGGGAAATGGAGGAAGATGTCAAAATAACCCTTCCAATTATAACATAAGTATTAGGAATGTAACGTACAATGTGATGACTATAGCTAAAATATCTGTACAATATATTAAAAGCTGAAAATGTGTATATCCTGTGTTTTCATCATACACAGAAATATTTCATTTTCTTCTCTTACTTTTATTGCATTTATATGAGAAGGTGAATGCTAGTTGAACCTACTGTGGTAGTCTAATCATTTCACAATATGCATACATCAAACCATCATTGTGAAGGCCTTAATCTTATATGCTGAGAAAGGTTAATTATTTACCAGTAAAACAGAAATATATATACATATATATATATATACTATAGAAGAATTTGAATTGCATAAAAAAATGAAGAGCAATTAATCAGGCCCACATGGATCAGTATAAAGGAGCTTATTTTTCTAATTATAAAATATCTTTATCACTCACCTTTTAAAAATAATATTATGAGATTTATAATAATATATTAGGGGGTTGTATAATGGGGTTATCAAAACCCCATTAAGGTAAGCACACAAAAGCGAAATATTTGTGGAGGATGACTCAAAGTATATGTTTACCTCGCTTATCCTCCCAACCGTTAAGGCAGAAATATGAGAAAATGTCCTGGGAACCAAAGGTAAAGAATCATTTCTGAGTGGGACGCAAGGTCAAGTTACTCAGCACCTCCTTGCTCGGCAAAGCCGGGCGGGGTGGGTGCCAGGATACAATGGTTTGACGGATCCTCCTCCACCTGCCAGGGCTCTGGAGCCCAGACCTCAGCACCACCCTGAGGAAGGGGCTCAGCCGCGCCTTGCAGCGCGGTCTCCACGGGGGTCTCTGAACCAGTGGGAGGCAAAAGTTCTGAAACGAGAGACCAGTGCTTTGGAGAGTTTGCTCTGGAGGGGATGAGATGTGCGCAGCCACAGGGACGTCCCCAAATCCAGGGGACCTTGAGAAGGGCTCCCTCCCTGGGACAGTAGATCCAGGTGAGGAGAAAGCCAGCCCGCCTGAGGTCCCCCCATGAGCAGGGTGGGGACTGTGGGCCAGCAGCCCTGCGGCTCCCCACAGATCTGGGGGCAAAATCAAGAGATGCCCGGGGGAAGAAGAGAGGTATTTGTCCTTAAGTCCACACCTGAGTCCTGCCCACGGTGCCACCTCACAGTGCAGGCGTCCTGCTGATACTCACCCTGCACAACTAGGTTCACGGAGAGGTGGTAGGAGAGCCGCGGGTGCTCAGCGCGGCAGGTGAATTGCCCTGCATCCGCCGCGACCACCTGGGGCAGCTCCAGGACCCCCGGATCCAAGGGCTTGGAGGGGCTCACGGTCAGGCTCCCCCGGGACCAGCTCAGCCTCCCTGGGGGGTTGCCCTCCGTCTCGCAGACCAAGCGCAGGGACTGGCCCTCCTGGACCCGCAGGGAGGTGGCGTTGCCCAGGACCTCTGGGACTGAGGAGGCAGAGAGAGGGACAGAGGGCAGGGCTGAGGGCCCTTCTCCCCTCTGTCCACCCCCAGACACGGGAGTGGGCAAAGGTGTCTCTGAGACAAGCGCTGCCAGCAAGGGCCAGTGGGGGCGGAGAGCCGCACGAGGCGAGGTGGGGGAAGGGGAGGCCAGCTGCTGCTCCCAGACCTGGCGGGGGCATTCGAGGACCAGCTGGTCCTGTGTGCGCCTGGGGGAGAGCCCCGGGGGGGGGCCTTGATGGGGACGCTGCGCAGAGGTGGCTCGTAGGTCTGCCCCAGGAGGCTCACACACAGGCGCGCTCTCAGCCGCTGCCCCGAGGGCGGGGGCGCCGCGGCCAGTTCTGAGCAGGGGAGGAGTGTTGGTCAGGTGTGGTGGACGTGGAGATCATCTGGGGGCTCAGATAGCGGCCGCCTGGAGGGGCTGAGACTCCAGAGCCTCTCCCACCTGTGCTATTTGCCCTGAAGACACGAACAGTCAGGTTCTGTGGAGCATCTGGAAGAGAAAGATGGAATTAATTGTCCACCTGCAGTGTGGTGGGCTGCTCAGGAGCGTGGCGGTGGGTCTGGGTGTCTCTCCATCCTCACCCCGGCCACGCTTCGGACGATAACCCCCAAGCGTCCTCCACCCAGGCCCTGCTCCCCCCCACCCCGTGCCCTCCAGGGCCAACGTCCTGGCTGAGCACTCACACACGTGGAGCTGGATGGTCCTCTCGGTGCTCACGGCAGCTCCGGGGAAGGTCACCCGACAGGTGAGGTTGGTGCCGTGGTCCTGGGGCCCTGGCGTGAGGGTGACCACTGAGGAGTTGGAAGTTCTGGAACCCAGGGAGGTAATGTTGCCCCCGATCCAGTAGAATTCCGGTGGCGTCCCTCTCTCGCAGGCCCATGGAACGGCACAGGTAACGTTCTTGGGGTGCCCTGATTCTAGGAACCCCTGGAAGTGGACCTCAGGTGTCTGTGACAGAGCTGGAGAAGGGAGAGACAGAGACCCAGGCCCTGGAGTTGGGGGTGTCTGAGTGTGCCCCTAACAGCAGCCTCTGTGCCCGGCCAGCCCCAGGGTCCTGCATCAGGGTCCCCCAGAATTCTTCCTAGGATGAGGAGTTACATGTCCCATCCTGTCTGTCTCTGGCCTGGGTGTCCTCTAGACTAATCTGCATGTCCTCTCCTTGACCCGATTCCTTACCTATCACATGCACCGAGAGCTGGTTCTCTTTGTAACTGTATTTCACATAGGGCCCTCTTTCCATCCTGAAGAAGTATCTCCTTGTGTCTCTCCTCTGTGCGTCTCTGATGTGTAGGGAGCAGTCGGAGGTCAGGTTGTTCCCGATGAGGTGGAATCGGCCCCTGGTTTCCTCGCTCAGTTTTCGAGTGGGGTGGTTTGTGGCCACAGGATCATCATAGTATGAGGCGGCCCCTTCCTGGAACCAGTAGCCATGAGCTGGGGTGGAGTCAGTCCAGCCTTCCTGGGGGTAGGACACAGTGCAGGGCACGGAGACACACAGGCCCGCCTGCACCGTCACGGACTCCTGAACATGCAGCTGGAATCCTGGATCCTGAGCCAAGGCCCCTGCAGGGAAAGGAGGGTCAGCGGCTGCCTCCGCCCCAGGTCACACGCCCTCCTCTCAGGCACTCACCCGCCCGCAGCAGGGGCAGCAGCAGCCACAGCATCTCTGGAGGGCGGCTGGGCTCCTGTCGCTGAAAGAGAAGGAGGGCTGTGGGAAGGGTTAGGGAGTCAGCCCCACGGAAGCTGGGGAGCAGCATGGTACCTCCCCATTCACAGAAGAGGAACCACACATGCAAAGAGCTGGCGGACGGCCCACAGCCCAGGGACCCTGGAGACCGGGCCAGAGAGGAGCGGCCAGGGAGCAGACCCCAGCCCTGCCCCATCTCGGGGGCCTCTCTACAGGACCAGGACCTCTGAGGACATCTGAGAATAGGACACACGAGTCTCCTCCGACACTTACTCCTGGCGCAATGCCTTTAAAAAAAAAAAAAAAAAAAGTGAAATCAGCCCTGGCTGGTGTAGCTCAGTGGATTGAGTGACAAGAGAGCCTACGAACCAAAGGGTCGCTGCTTCCGTTCTCAGTCCGGGCACCGGCCTCAGGTGCAGGCTAGGCCTCCAGTAGGGGGCGCACGAGAGGCAACCACACCTCGATGTTTTCTTCTCTTTCTCCCTCCCTTCCCTTCTCTCTAAAAATAAATAAAATTTTTTAAAAAACGAAAAAATGAAATCAGACTTATGACCTCACGGTGGCTCTTTATGTGTATTGTATGAAGAGGAAGCATTTTATCTTGGTTTACAGTAGTTCTGACAATATGCTGGCAGAGCAAGAGGTGCGCCGTTACCCAGTCTCAGGGAACCTGAAGAGCAGCGCTGAAGAGCGCCCCCCGTCCCCGCCTAGTGGCCGAATTTCATCAATGCACTGGGTTTTCATTTCGTCTGGGCTGGAGATGGCCGCGAGCGCAGTCCTAACTGCACAATGGCTCAGGGTTTTAATAACATATTGTCGGGAAATTTGCCCATTTACTACAGATTTTAAGTTTCTGGGCTTTAAAGATTTTCATTACTTTCTGTTTAATTTCTGCTACAATAAGCGATGCCTCCTTTATGTTCTCGGATGCAGGTTACTCTTGCCTTCTGTATTTATTTCTGGATTAACTGAACTCTGTCAGCTTTACTGTCCCTATCAAAGAACTAAAACTGCGTGATGTTGTTCGTCTCTAGTGTGTATTTTTTTTATTACACGTGCTCTTAAATTGGTATCTCCTTTCTTCAATTTTCTTTTTATTATACTGTTATTTTCCTAAGTTTTTTTAAAATAAAAATTCAGCTTATTGAATTTTAGCTTTTTTTCATCACATATAGACATATGAAGTTATTTATATTTCTTCTAATAACCACATTAGGTTTAAAGTAAATGTTTTATCATTAGTATTTTTATTATTAGTTAATTTTAAACAATTTTAAATTTGCATGACATTATTTTATTCTTGACTTATCTATAAGGGATTTTCTAAGTTTCCACTAATATTTAAATACATAGTGATACAGTTATATTTATGACTATATAATATGTAAACATATAATATATTATATATTTATGACTACAAGAAGGGGGGCCCCCAAAAAACCCAGAATTATCCTCTGGAGGGTGAGCCCCTTGTAGTACAGGCTTCCCCCACTAGATGAATGTTCTAGGAACCCATCATGTACCAGCTAGTGTTGTTATGAGAGACTGTTTTCAGCTTCAGTGACCTTTTTTTTGAAGACTATCTTTTGAAGACTTTTGCCCATTTCATGATGGGTGATTTACAAATGCACCTGCCCACATTGTGCTGAGGGTTCAGCAGCATTCAACCAAAAAACAGCGCTACCCCGCTGCTCCACCCTCCCTATTCACCCGATCTTGCCCCCAGTGATTTTTTTTTCTTTTGTCTCCCCAGATAAAAAAAGCCCTCAAAGGGAAACCTTTTGCTGAGGCAAGAGAGGTGAAACAAAAAACGGGAGAAGCACTAAAAGGTGTCAAAGTTGACAAGTTAAAGAACTGTTTTGAGCAGTGGAAAAAACATCTCAATAGGTGTATCACATCAAATGGAGAGTGTTTTGAAGGTGACTGAAGCTTGAACATGTAAGAATAAATACACAATTTTTTATAAATAAATTGTTTTGGGGGATCTCCCTCATATATTACATAATCAAATATAATATAAATATAACATAATGCTTTTGTTATTGATTTCTAATGTAATAAACTTGAAATCAGAGAATATAATCTGCATGATTTCAATCCACTTACATATGCTGAAATTTTACTTTATATGGTCCAGTATATGATAAAATATTTGGAATGTTTTGTGTGTGTGCGCGGGCGCACATATGTGCACGCTCAAATAGAGAGCATATTCTGCCATCATTGAGACAAATTTTCTATCTATGGCTGTAGGTCAGTTCCTTAATAAGCTGTTTACATGTAGTGTAATAACATATCCTTACTGATTTTCTTGTCTCTGTGTTTTATCAATTATTGTATTATACATTAAAATTCCCTCTAGGAATGTGGATTAGTTTAGTTTTTCAAAACATTTTCAATTTTTCCCTTATGTTACCATATGCATGTACATTTCAAATGTAGTACCTTCCTGTAAACTGAATTTTTAATCATTATGAAGTGGTCCCATTTATTTCATTAATACTCTTTATTATAAAATATATATTTTCTGATATTAATATACCTGTGATGGTTGTAATCCTCACTAATAGTCAATCAAACACTAATCTAGGTTTTATGTACATCTCTTGTAAACAATGTATAGCCACATTTTTTCTGAGTCTGACTATATTTGTCATTTATTGAGAGCATTAAGTCCATTTGTGCTTAATGTGATTTTTTAATGTATTTGGGTCTAAACGCATAATCTTATATTTGTACTCTATATGTTCTATTCTCTTTTTTTCTCTCTTAATCTGTTATTTCTTTTTCTCTCTTGTTTGATTGAAAAATGTTTCCAGAATCTCTTATACTTCTAGTTTGGAGATGATATACTTGGAATCAATTGATTTAGAAAATTTCCTTGAGCTTACAACAACAAAATAGCAAAATTGAAAGCTTATTATAACATTTTATTTTCTCCTGAATAACATAAAGACTTTATTGGTTGTAAATTCTATTTATATTTTCCTGAGTTATGTTACGATAGTGTGGCATTTCAATATTATACTTTATGTTTGACCCCTCTACATATCATCATTATGGTACTTGTTTCCTTTAGCTCATATATCTGCCGCTTTCTTTTTTATTGATTTTTTTTTTCTTTTAGAGAGAGAGGGATGAAGTGGGGAGAGAGAGAGAAACACCAATTTGTTGTTCCACTTACTTATGCACTCATTGTTTGCTTCTTGTTTATGCCCCGACCGGGGATTGAACCAGCAACCTTGGCATTTCAGAATGATGCTCTGACCAACTGAGCTACACGCCAGGGAGGAGATAGAGTCTTTAAAGAGATATTTTAGTTCAAGTGAGGTCATCAGGGTGGGTCTTAATCCAGTGTATCTGGTGTCCTTATAAGGAGAGGAGATTTGGACCACAGAGGGAGCACCCTGTGAAGACACAGAGAGAAGATGGCCGTCTACAGGCCAAGCAAAGAAGCGTCAGAAGAAACCAAGCTTGCTGACTCATTGATCTGAGACTTCGAGCCTCCAGGACTTTGAGAAGTAATTCCTCATTAGTGTGTCTTGATCTCTGAGTACACAGTGTTGGTGCCTTCCTGTTCCTGACGCCTCAGATTGTGAAATCTGAGGAAAGCATACTGGAGCTCCTGTTCCTCTTTTGCGATGGGGCTGGCACCGTCAGGGGGTGGGTGAGCTGAAGGGCTGTCTCTCAAGAAACGATGCGGATGCACCTGAGTGGAAAGAAGAGAAAGGATTCAAAGCTGCTCAAATGTGTTTGGGAGAAAGCAGCCAAGGGCCATAATGGGATTGGGACAGGTGGAACTTTTATCATTTTCCCATCCATTTATTTTAAAATGTTTAATAATTAAGACTGGCCAGTCCCCAGAGAGTGTTTGCATTGATCACATTATATTCTTTAAAGAAATGCTGGGAGAGGATGCTATGATCGTATTCACCTTACAAAAAGTGAAACTAAGACTAACAGAAATGAGATGCGTTTCCATGAAGACACACATCTATGTAAATGCACCGCTGAGCCAGGACTCAGTACCAGTCTTCCTAACAACAGTGTCACCCTTTGTGCAGGTAAGTTACAATTTTCTACAAGAGGCAGTTACTAAACACATAGGAAACACATATATTTCAAGTTCTAAATTTGGGCTAGAAGATATTTTGAAATGTAAAGCAGGGGCAAGGGTGGCATATCCTAGAAGACAGAGCAGAGACCAGGTCTTGCAGCAACCAGACCCCCCTCGCCTGTATCCACTCCCCGCCCACAACACCCTCAGGCTACAAAAGTATGAACTAGAAACCTTCAACCAGCCCTGGCTGGTGTGGCTCAGTGGATTGCATGCTGGCTTGCGAACCACAAGGTTGCAGGTTTCAGTTCCCAATCAGGGCACATGCCTGGGTTGCGAGCCAGGTCCCCAGCTAGGGGCGTGCGAGAGGCAGTTACACACTGATGTTTCTCTCCCTTTCTTTCTCGCTCCCTTCCCCCTTCTCTAAAAGTAAATAAATACAATTTTTAAATAAATAAAATCTTTAAAAAAAATAAAAAACAGAAACCCTCAAACAGTAGCTCAGAAAGACAAAGATTATGGGAATGCCCATGTTAAGCAAAAGCAGGAAGGAAATAAATGACAAATCAACTACACTTCTACTGCAGAAAAAGGGCAGAAGAGAAAAAATGTGACTGTTAATAACCATAACTAAAGTGTATGTGGATGAACCTCACCAATCAAAACATAATTTTTAATAGAAAGTGAGATCCAGCAATAGAGTCATCCAATGATTTAGTCCGGAAGCATTTCTTGAATATCTACTGTAAGCTATGTGATAGGCACTCCCCTGGGCCCTGGGTATGCAACAGGGAATAAAAAAATAACAGTAACATCAAACCACCCTTGGGACTTCCATGCTAGAGGACAGAATGATTCTGACTGGTAATTGTGAGTACTGTGCTTAGTGTATGCCAGGTACTGTTTGAAGCAGTCCTCATAGCTGCTCTGTGATACAGACACTCTTAATATCTCCACGTCACAGAAAATAAACAGCAGGATATAGCCCGTCTAGTTCTACAAAGCATGCTTTGAACCACTGACTACAATAGACATTTATTAAAAGGAAAAACAGTTTACTGAAAATTTGAAAATTACGTGATGAAAAAGATGCATTGTGACTCCTGATAAGATGAGGATTTAGCTCACACTAAGGATTTCATTCCCCAAGATCAATCAAGCAACAACAATACAGGGAATTCTGCAAATTAAAATAAAAAAAAAAAGATTTTCTGTTTACATGTTTTACCAGTTACTGAGAAAAGACTTTTGAAATAATTGTGAATGTATCTATTTCTCCTTGCAGCTCTGTCAGTTTTTGGTCCATTTATTTTGATGCTCTGTTGTTAGGAGCATACATATTTAGTACTTTTATATTTTTTTACATGAAGTGATAGAAACCAGGTATGTAGAGCAACTATTGCATGAGTCCACTTATATAAAGTTCAAGAATGGACAAAACTAATCTATAGTGATAGAAATCACTGATTGCTGGAATGGGGAAGGTGACGGGGAAGGGAAAGTTAGGAATTTGGGGGCATGATGGAAATGGTTCATCTCTTAACTGGGGACATGGTTACAGGGTGTATACATTTGTCAAAGTCATCTAACTGTATACTTCAAATGGTGCACTTTACTATATGTAACGTATGCCTCAATAAAGTTGATATTAAATAATCATGGTGATTGCGTGAGGAATTGTGACTTTGGGGTGCCTCATCTGTCGATCCCGAGGCTCCAACCCACCCCTTCCGTGCACTCAATGGGTCTGACACAGACTCGGTTTGGGTCATTACTCTTCCCCAGTGTCAACATCAGAAGGAAAGGCTAATATTCCCCGTACTCAGCTCTTTAAAAAAAAAGAAACGTTGTCACTTGAGACAATATGGATAGTATCATACTAAGTGAAATAAGTCAGATGGAAAAGAACAAAAACTGTATGATTTTACTCGTATGTGGGATATAAAACAGAAAGCAACAAACAAAACAAACTCATAGACACAGTCAACAGAATGATGGTTACCAGAGCGGGAAGGGTCTTTGGAGGAGGACGAAGAAATCAGGGGGGTCAAATACATGGTGATGAGAGAGACTAGACTCTGGATGGTGTACACACAATGGAGTATACAGATATTGTATTATAAAGTTGTACACCTGAAATTTATATGTTATTAACCAATGTTATCCCAATAAACTTAATTTTGAATACCCCTAGCAAACCAATTGGACCATGTGCAGATTCTACCGGAAGCAGCACCATTAGAGCAGTCGAATCATTTAAACTAACCACTGGTGGAATTCCGGAAAGTGCTGGATATCTAACATTGCCATGTCTGAAAGCCCCCGTGGAGAGCAGCATTCAAAAGGAATAATGCTGAATGGGAGCTATGTCCGGTCACTCACCCCGGAGCCTGAGCCCACAACTGGGTTCCCGTTGTGGTCCACTCTCTGCAGTTGCTGGACTGCTTTCTCCCTGCAGGTCTTCACTCTATGGAAACAACCCGAGCGTCTCAGCCTGGTTATTTGGGGCAGGGAGGGGGCAGACCACCCCTGCTCCCTGTGAAGAGCACTCAGTGAGGTGGGTGGAGGTGGGTCCCCTCTCCAGGTGCTTCCCTCACCCAAGAACAGGACCAGGAGTAGCTGGGAAAAGACTGTTTACTTGGCCCAGCTGATTAGGGGCTGATTCATGCCAGCACTCAACCTCCCTTCCCCGGCTCCTGGCTTTCCCACCAATCCAAGATCCTCCACCCAGATTTCCTGCGATTTCAAGACCTTAAACCCTTCCCACCGCCGACCCCTCCCTCTGTCCCGGGACCTCACTCTCACCTGAAGACGAGACAAAGGCAGAGAGAAAGCAGGGCCAGGGCCACGATGCTGGTTCCCCCGGCCGCTCCCAGGACCCCACTGGTTTCTGGTTTACCTGGAGATAATTTGAGTTTTGTGTAAATCCCAACCCCGATCCACAGCATCCTCCACACTGGTCACTTCTGTCTCTGTGTGTCCCATTAGCCCACTCCTCATTCAGGGCTCCGTCACTCAGCATTCTGTTGCCTTGTAGACCCTGGAGCAGCCCTTTCCCTCCACACTCCCCTCCCCTGACTGCAGGACTCAGGATCTTACATCCCCGGCCACTTCAGCCCAAGCCTTAAAACGCATCTTCTCCGAGCTCCACCTCTCCGGGGCTGTTATGGCTCGAATTGTGTGCCCCCCAAATTCGTATGTTGCACTCCTAATCCTCCAAGGTCCCCGATGATCCCCCCGCACCCCATACCTCAGAACATAACCTTATTTGGAGAGAGGGTCTTTACAGAGGTAACAAGTACAATGAGATCACTAGGGTGGACTCTTACTCCAATATGCAAGGTGTCCTCATAAAAATGCGGGATTTGCACACAGACACACACAGGGAGAACGCCACGTGAACGTGAAGGCAGAGGTAGGAGTGATGCTTGTGCAAGCTAAGGAACACCAAAGACTGCCAGCAAACCCCCAGGAGCTAGGGGAGCCCGGCCACACGCCCACAGCCTCAGAATGACTCAACCCTGCTGACACCTTGATCTTGGACTTCCAGCCTCCAGAACTGTGAGACAATAAACCTCCCTGTTGAAGCCTTTCAGTTAGAGGTATTTTGTTATGCAGCCTCCTATTTCCCGCCAGGCATCACCCCCCAACAGACCCCTGGCAGCAGCCGGACCCTGCTGCTCTGGGCCCTGTGGACATTCCCCGCCTCACAGCTGAGTCTGAGGCCAGTGCTGAGCCCACCCCCCACCCCTGGCCCCGTGGAGGCTCAGGGAGCCACTGGCCCAGGGCCCCGCAAAGAGGCAGAGAGGGAAGTGACCGTGTAGGAAGTGTTGCTGGGGTTCCCCTCCAGCAGCCCCTCCCCCAGCCTCCAGCGCAGCGGGAGCAGGAGGGTCCCAGCAGCTGTGGGGGAACTGTGGGGAGCGAGGTGGGGGGCCTTTCCAGTGCAGTAGGCAGTTAGACAGACATGACCAGAGCAAGGACGACGGGCCAGGGAACAGTAGGTCACCAGGGTGGTGCCTGGCAACGGGCAAAACGGGAAAAACAAGGACCTCGCTCCCAGGGAAACCTCCCCTCCCCTCCCCTCCCTCCCCTCACACATCGCTGGTCTGCAGTTTGGACCCTCCCTTGATTCTGTCCACTCCCGGCCTGTTGCTAGTCACATGGGTTAGACCCCCTCAAAGGAGGAACAAACAAGGGAGGCTAGAGAATAGCCCTTAAGCATTTAGCCCCCAGGACAGGGAGGTTCTGACCCCCGTCAAATGTGTCTCAGCCTCCTTTGTGTTTCAGCTCCAGGCCCAGAAAAGAAGCAAAAGCAGACAAGCGGCACCAGGGCTGATGTCAGGACCAGCTGCATTGACTGATGACCCCCTGACCTGGTGCTGACCCATCAGTGGAGACCACAACCCTGAAAGGACACACCTGGAAAGTTGAGGCATATTCTATTGGGATCCTCCCCCAACCCCAGGCCTCCAGATAAACGCCCTTAAGACAAAGGACCCGACGTGCTCTCCCTCCCGGGGAGCGATGGGAGCACACCTGCCTCTCTCCCCTCCTCCTCTTCTTCCCCCCAAGCACAGTTACCCTTATTCTCCTCCCTCCTAAGCTCCAAGGGCCCCTTCTTGTGCATCTGTAACTGGTGTCCTTGGCCCATTTCTTCTATGGCTCACTTCCTATACGTCTGTCACTTTCTAAATAAAACTTGTACAGTTTAAGTCTTGGCTCTGAATTCTTTCTGGTCCAGACTCAAGAGCTGAGGTTGCTGAACCGATGTCGGTCTGGCCCCACTGGTGTAACACCGGATGCCATTCTTACCGCTGTCAATGCCAGGACCCAGCTGCCCTGCCCCCAAACGTCCCCCATCTCCCCGTTCACAGCACATAGAGAGGCTCAGTGAGATAGGGAGGGAGCCTAGCAGGTCCTGAATAAGGCAAACGAATTCACCTTCATGCTCCACTTGTATCTGAGGCAGCTCCAGGGCCCCTGGTGCTGAGGTCTGGGCTCAGGACTTTCCCCTCCAGGGACCAGCTCAGCATGAGCCCACCCACCGTAAGGATTCAGTGTTTTGTTTTCACACCTCCTTGCAGAACCAGCTGTAGGCTCTGTTCAGGCACGAGAAGGAGGGTCTTGTCCAAGTAAATAACCCCCTCCCCGGCCGCCGCCCCTCCCCCCCGGCCCCGGCCCGGCTCGGGTCCCTGCCCGTCTCCCTAAGCCCCGGCCCCCAGCAGGCCCCTGACCTGGCAGCAGCAGGGCGCCGCCGCTCTGCGCCCCGTGGACGTTCTCCGCCTCGCAGCTGAGCCGGAGGCCGGCGCCGAGCCCCGCGCGGAGGCTCAGGGAGCCGTTGGCCCAGGGCCCCGCGGAGCGGGAGGTGACCGCGTGGGAGGCGTTGCTGTGGTTCCCCGCCAGCAGCCCCTCCCCCAGCCGCCAGCGCAGCGAGGGGGCCGGCTGGCCCCGGGAGGAGCAGCTGCAGCGCAGACCCTGGTCCTCCCAGGAGCAGAAGGGTCCCAGCAGCCGTGGGGGGTCTGTGGGGAGCGAGGGGAAGGGTCAGCGGTGCCACTGTCCTCCCACAACCCAAGTGACCTGCCCCCAGGGGTCCCCACACTCACAGACCACGGAGAGGCTGAGAGAGAGATTTCGGGAGCCCAGGGGGTGCTGAGCTTGGCAGGTGAACTGTCCTTCATTCCCCGTCCCCATGCGAGGCAGCTCCAGGATCGAAGTGCTGGAGACGAGGGTGGAGTTCAGGCTGGGGGACCCCCGGGACCAGCTCAGCTGTGCAGGGGGGTTGCTGTCAGCCACACAGAGCAGCCTCAGAGCCTCGCCCTCCAGGATGGGAAGGGATGTGGTTTGCAGAATCTTGAGGGCTTTGGGGAGAGAAGAGGTGGTAGGGGGGAGGGGAAGAGAGAGAGAGAGAGATGAGGTGGGCAAAACTGGAGGCTCTCTCCTCCTGCGCTGTCCACACTAGCTCTGAGGAGGGCCTGGCCCTGGCAAGGTCAGCGTCCCGGCCTTGCGCCTTCAGGAGCGGGTCAAAGGATTTCCCTTCTGTCGCTCTGGCTACCCAGCAGATGGATGACCAACAAATGCAGTTACAGGTCGAAGAGGAGATGACAGAAGCGGGAGCGCATGAAACACCAGAGAGAAGTGTGAAGCCAGAGGGGTGTGAGCTTCCTTTGCATTTGGCCACAGAAAGCTGTGGGTGAGCAAAAGATTAACTTTCGGGAGTTGAGGTTGGGGTGGGGGAGACGTTCCATCTGACCTCAGTAGCTGGCTTCCCCCGTGTACCCTTCTTGGGAGCTCTGGGACCCGCCTAGGCCCTGTGTCCATCCCAGCCCCAGAGAGAAGAGGTCCTTTCCTACCTGTGCTATTTCCTTGGAAGATGTGGATGGCCATGGTCTGTGGAGCATCTGGGATAGAAGGACGTGGCAACCTCAACATCCACGGCGACAGATGGGCTGGCACTGGGCCCCTCCCCCCCAGCAGCCAGGGGAACAGATGAGGGGGCTCCCTTCCTGTTGGACTACCAGGATCCCAATGTCAAACCCCTGGCCCAGCACTCACAGCTGACGTTGAGCCGGACGGTCCTCCCCACGGTCACACCCGTTGCGGGGAACTGCACCTGACAGGTGAGGGCGGAGCCGTGGTCCTGGGCCCGTGGGCGGAGGGTGAGCACGGAGGACAGGCGGGTGCTGGGGCCCAGGGCGGCGGGGGCAGCGGACGTCCAGGAGAAGAGGGGGGGCGTGCCCTGCTCACAGGCCCAGGGCACAGAGCAGGTCAGGTTCGTGGGGCGGCCACACTCCAGGGCCCCCGGGATGAGGATGTCAGGGGTGTGGGTCAGATCTGGAGTGAAGAGAGCCTGCTGTCAGCCTGCCCCAGGATCTCGTTCGACGGTCCCCACCCCACCCCCAGGGGCCTTTGTTTGTTTATTTCTGGTCCCTCACACCCTGCAGCCTTCCCTTGGGCCACTGTCATACCCGTCACTTTCAGAGAGAGCATCTTATCTGTATATGAATATGTCCTCTCGAAGTAATTTTCTATTTGAAAGAAGTATGTTCCGTTGTCCCTCTTGTTGGCATCTCTGATGCTCAGGGAGCAGTTGTTGGACTTGGGGTCCATGGGGAGGAAAAACCGGCCCTGGGTCCTCCCCGGCAGCTTCTGTTTTGGCTTAGTTGTCGCCACTAGAAGATCCTGGTTCATATTCACATCTTTCCTAAACCAAAACATGTTAACGGTTTTAAAAAATGTCAAGGAATGGGAAAATCGGCAGGGCACAAGGACGCATAGGCTCTCCTGCACGGTCACAGGGCTCTGCAGTGTCAGCCGGGCGCTCGAACACTGAGCCAGGAAACCTGGAGAGAGAGAGAAACTCAGCCTGGAGATTCGAGGCCTCCTCCCAAGTGGGGTTCCCTCTCCCCTCAGCCCACTCACCTTCCCAAAGCATGAGCAGCAGCAGCAGCAGCCTCGGCGACATCCCTTCCTCACCTTCTGCAGCCCCTCGGAGAGAGGAGGGAAAGATGTAAATGAGGGCGGGCAGAAAAAGCTTAGCCAGGAAGCCTGTCATGAGAGCAAAAGATCACAAGCCCAGAAGAGGAAATGTGTTCCAGCCACGTTTCTGCATGTGGCAAGTGAACCCTGAGGGTCACAGGAGTCGAGAGGCTTGCCCACGTAAGGCAGCAAGGGAAGACGGACGCCCCCAATTCCTGGGGTCATGCACAGTCCTCTGCGCTGGAGAGGCACGTCCCACCGGGCCAGCTGCCTGACAGTCATGGCCATGGGGCCCTCCTGGGGGTGGCCCGCGAGGGATGGGTCTCAGCGTAGCCTATACGGGTGCCCGTGGCAAAGAAGGGTCCAGAAGAACAGAAACACCAGACACATTCACTCATTTGCAAACTAACAAAATAAAGATTTGAATCAGTCCTGATCTTCCGCTGGTTCAAGCAGTGAGAGAAGACAGATGCGTGGACAGGCTAGAGCTTTAGCGGAAGGCAATGGGGAGATGGGGAGGCTGTTAAACAGCAAAGGGGCAGGGTCGTATAGGTATCTCCATGGCCGCTCCGAGGCTAGCGTACGAAAAGGCCGGAAGGGGGAGACCCGCGGCCCAGGAGCCAGAGAGGAGACAGTTGTCACTGATCGGGGCGGGGAGAACACACCTGCACAGTGACAGAGGAAAGTTTTGAGGTGGGAGGCACTTTGAGGAAGTGAAATTTGAAGGCAGGTGCGGTAGGTGGGCAGGGAGGCATCTCGAGTGGGCTGGAGGTGCCGTCACCAACAGCACCACAGACCGGCGGGGCTGGGCTGGGAAGAAAGTTGTAGGAAGACAGCAGAGCTGGCCCCTGGGGCTCTTTCCTGGGGGCCCTTGCCTACGTATCACATTCAGAGACAGAGCCCTAGACTGAGAGACAACTTACACATCATCCCTCTCTGTCGGGAAGTATTCCCACTTCCCTGAATCTCGGAGAATCTGAGGCTCAGAGGGCAACTGTAGGCCTGTAGGTCCCCAGGGAGGTGGAACTGGCCCCAGGTTCTCTGTTCCAGGTTCCGGCGGTGCCTGTGACCAGACCAGAGGGGAATGATGGCTGTGTCTGCTGGCGCCATCTGGGATCGGAAGGTGGGCTTCGAGTAGGCTAGCGCTGGCCCAGGAGAGCCATGAGTCGGACAGGAGGACGGGACCAGAGGCACAGGCCGGCCCCGCTTTGCTCTCACTGACTGAAGGCCACACGTTCACGTATCGGCACCGTCCTCTGGGGCCCCCGCAACCAACAGAGTCTGTGAGTGCCGCCTCGCCCGGAAACTTCATCCGCACACCTCTCTCACCCTCACAGCCGCGGCCACGGCAGCGCCCGCATCTCTGGGCTGCAAAGAGTAGCCTAGGTTCCCTTGGCACCATCTGATTAGCCTGGAGGTGGGGGCGCTGTGGGGTGGTAAGAGAACTTGGGACTCTTTTTGGATGGAAACATCTGGTCTCTGCCCCAAAGCTCTCCCTTCAACAGGGACACCCCTCTCTCTCAGGCCACTGCAGGGGAAGTGAAAGCTGAGCTCTTCTGTCCCCTGGGCCATAGCAGGTGCACGTTTCCCTTCTACTGTACCCTGAAACTCTGCCCCTCATCTCTTGAAGACCAATACCCAGTTCCCTCTAGAGAGATGTGGAGTTCGAAGGTCTAGTTTCTCAAGATACTTTCTGGAGGCCCCGCCCCTCTCATAGATACAGAAGAGAGGGATTCCAAGACTCTTCTGGGACCAAATCCTCTCTGAGTAGGACTTGCCCCAAGGCCGGAGCACCCTGGGTGGCCTCAGGAAGCATTGGGTCAACTCTTGAATCCATCTTCCCTATGGGCAGAGTCTAGGACTGAGCCTGGAGCCCTCACGGGAGTGCCAGTCTTGGGTGGGCAGTGTGAGTTCAGGGGGAGACCACACATGAGTGGGTTTAGTCCCTCCTCTCAGTTCCTGGGACCCAGCACATATGAGTACAAAATATCCCTACCCATCTTCTCCACGGCCTCTCCAGCCTCCACAATCGCTCCCCACCGTGGGCAACCGGTCACCTGACTTCTCTCTCCTAATTACCTCCTCCCTGCAGCCGCCCATTTCTCAGGTTACGCCTCTGAGGTTTCCCAGTCTAAGCAAGGTCCCTCGTAGGCCGACACGGTTCATGTCTTCCATCATCTCCAAGGCAAGGCCTCCATCCGCCCCCTGAGGGTCCTAGGTGCATATTTTACAATCTTTGAGGATTCGGCGCAGAGCTATAGACTGTAACAGACAGTGAGGGACCATGTGCTTTTGTTCTCTGTCTTCCAGAGCTCTACGTAGGTACCAGCCAGAGACTGAGCAAGAGCAAAAGGAGAGGAGAGGAGAGGAGGGGGATGGGTGAGGGAGAAGAAGAGGAAGAGAAAGAGAGAATTGGCATGTCCGAGAGAGGCGCCCTTCCTGTCTATAAGTACATGAGGAGGGGATGGGGGTTTATCCCAGACAAGGAGGGGTTTCTGCAGCAATTGGGGGTGGAGTCTGCTCTGAGCAGCAAGAAACCCAGGGTATGTGAGCAGTCTGTCTCTGGCTGAATATAGGGCCCTATCTCCTAGGGTGGCAATCGTAGAGGAGAGGGCTATGAGAACTATATAAATTAACTAAAATTAAACAAAGTTAAGTCACGGGCCTGCTGTGCGCTGCCTGACATGGAACCCGGCTGATGAGAGATGCGAGCAGACCACGAGGAGCCTCCAGCACCAGGAGAGCATTGCAGAGGCGGACTAATAGCTGCTCACCCACACCTTTTCGCTTACCCATTCCATAAAGGGAAAACAGACCACAAAAGACACCTTGCAAACGTCCAAGTTACTCCCAGCGTTCTTCTCCCAGTCTCTATTTCCCCATACCAGCAATTCTCCATAGAAACTATGAACAGATATAAGCTCCAACTCTCGAGGTGGCTGACGTCTCTCTCCTTGGTCTTGTGAGGAGAGTCCACCCCTCTGTCTGTAGAGTGGCCTTTTTTTTTTGCTTATTCTCTCTGCTCAAAAAATGTACTTCCACTTTAAAACTCTATGCTGGCTCAGATCTTGAATTATTTCTTGTGAAATCAAGAACACTCTTGGCTGGGGGCTGGAGTCCTTACTAGGGACTCGCCCCTCGGCATCAGCATGGCATCTGAGGAGGAGCTTATCCTGCTCGCCTTCAGTCCCCAAGCCTCTCCCACGTCTCCCATTGGAGTTTTCCCACAACGGGGAGCTCTTTTCTGCCAAGACACAGGCTGGTCCTCCATGAACCCCAGAAATCGGAGCCGGTGCTGTCCTTGGTACTGAAGCAGAATAGGGACCTGAGTTTAACAAAAGAGAAGCCAAGACTTACAAACTCAACTACATACATTCTGGAGGCAAACCCAAGCCAAACTAAGATAGAAGAAAATAATAAACTTGGCAAAGAAATAGATCATTATATTACAGGTGATGATTGTATTTCCCAACATCACAAGAACTTCTTCAAATCCTGACAAAAATACTGCATAAGCTAATCACAATGAAAAATGATAAGAACGGTCATTTCATAAGAATGGCAGAACAGGGTAGAATGGAAAATATTAATGACTATGAAACCTATTTTAAAATGCTCACCTTTATGTTTAACAAGAGGGATGCAAGTTAAAGCTATGGTGGGGTATGTTTTTCATCGGTAAGATAGAATGATCAAAATGATTGCTAATGCCTTCTGCCATTGAGGTGGGAATGAAGCAGAGATGCTAACACTTCGCAGGGAAGTGGGGATGCACACTGGGTCAGCCTCTTGGAGAGCCATGGGCATATCTATCAAAATTAGAAATGCATGTGTCCTTTCATTGAGGAATTCAAATGCATACAGATACAAAATAGATGTACAACATTATTCATTGCAGTGGTATTTATAAGCAGCGAAACTTTTCCCCCCCCAATCAGTATGCCTTAGTTTAAAGACATTGTAATACATATAGGCAGTGGAATGCTTTGCAGTTGGGAAAAAAAAAAGATGAAGTTCATCTACTAACATGGAAGGATTCCGAAGGGTAATTGTTAATTTAAAAATAAGATACCGAACAATGTGTGTAGGATGCTTAGTGTCTAAAAAATGCTCATATACACAAAAATGCTCATGCAAAATCTATATTTATATCTACACATAGAGAGAGGTGTACAAATATCCTTATATATGCATAAACATCTCTGGATGAACACATCAGATACCCTTATAGAATGGATGCCTCACATGAAGAAAACTAGGAATCCGGGGTGGGGAGCAGAGGTGGGAGAGGTACTCTCTGCTACATGCTCTTTAAACCCTTTGAGTATATGACACTATACAAATAAACTGCCTGTGGGGGAATAATTATATCGAAAAGCCCTGAAAAAGGCGGGGTAAAGAGATAGCATCAGGAGGGGTCTTCAAAGGTAATATCCATTGCCTGAATTTAGCTCTTGGGAAGCTGAGAAGTTTAAGTCAGCTACCAAGACAAAAGATCCCTCCAAGTGGTTCAGAGAAGGAAGGATGGGCAGTCTCTTTAAGATTCGACAAGAAGAAGGTCTCTGTCATGGTGGGGAAAGTAAGGCCTGAGGACAGCAGACAGAGAAGGCAGGGAGCGTTCTAGAACCTGCACTCTGCCTTTCTGATCTCAGCCCTCCTACCATGCAAACCCCAAGACCTGGACTCTGTTCTGAGGTGCAACAGACACCTCATCGCTCCATCGCAGCCCCGCAGAGGAGGAATTCTTTCCTTCCTGTGTTGTTCCCTCAGAAGACACTCACAGTCAGGTTCTGCGGAGCCTCTGAATTCAGAAGACAACATGTCCTTCTTCCATTTTGAGGTCAGTTTCAGTTTGGGCATCCTCTTGGCCCCCCGCCCCCACCCCAAATCCAAGACTCGGCTCCAGGTAACCCGAGGCCCTGACTCTCCACCCACAGTCACCGCCCACAATAACCCACAAGCCGTGGCCCAGACTCTCAGGAGACACTGAGCCAAACGGCTGTTTCCGTGGTCACATGAGACCTCGGTAAGACACTTGGGAAGTGACGTGGGTGCCATGGTGCCAGGGCTGTTGGATGGTGGGCTGCAAAATCAGCGCCAGGTGTTAGACCTCCGTTTAGCACCCTCAGTTCTTGATTTCTGGCTAAGAGAATTCAGAGCCGAGACTCAAATTCTAAGAGAAAGTTTATAGAGAGAGACAGAGAGGTAGAAGAAGTGAGCTGTAGAAGAAATGAGCTCAGGCTCAGGAGACATGTTACAGAGGCCAAAGAAGGGTCCTTGGAGCTTAGGGAAAAGAAAGGCCAAGAAAACGCACCTGGGGGAAGAAGAAGGGAAAAAGGGGAAAAGTCTGGGGTGCGCTGGGGAGCGAGTGAGACCCCTCGGAACTAAGGGGGTGGGGAAGGCACGGGAGTGCTTCAAAGAGGGAGCTGGGCTGGGTTCGCTGTCCTGAAGGCTCTTCTCTGGAGGCCTCAGGAAAGGATCTCGGTGCATCGGCCCCGATGTCAGCCATGGCCTTGCTGCTTTTCTGGGCCTGACGCTGAAACGCAGCTGAAGCCTGGATGTTTTCTGTGGGGTCAATACTTAAGGGAGTGGTCATGCAAGGGCTTGCGTTTTTGCCCATTGCTAGGCACCCAGGGCTCTCCACCCTGGTGACCCTCTGCCCCTGGTCTACATTTGCTACTCTGTTCATGCCTGTCTACAGGACGATGGTGATATCTGACGAGCGAGCTGTCCCAGGACCCAAGCAGATACGTGTGTTCCATATTCAGAAGAAGGGGAGGGGCTTCCTCCAGTCACAGGATGTCGGCATGAAGCGAATTAGGGTCCCAGGATGGCCAGACTCCAGAGGTGCTGAGAGGCGAATGTCAGGTGTCTAGATGAGGGCTGGAGAAGACAGAGAAAGAAGCCCGAGACACGGAGGGGGAACTCCAGGGTTTGACTCTGGCAGTGGTGTCTATACCAGCCCCAAAGATACCGCCCCTCTGAGCCTGTGCCCACCTACTCTCGCTCTGATCTCCACTCCTACAATATGAGTAAGGGCCCAGCCCAACTGTCACATTCAGAAAGAGAGTCTTACACTGGAAACTGAACTTCACAACATTGTGGCAGGAAAGTTAGAAAAGGGAACAAAGGCATCAAACTCTAACCCTCCCCTTTGCCACCTTGGCTGGAATGTCACAGATGTGACCTTCACTGACCACTGGTTCCCCTGCTTCTCCTTTGCAGTTTCCTGTTATTGAGAGAACCAAAAAGAAGAAGGAGGAGGAGAGGTATGAGAAAGACAGACAGAGAGAAAGAGAAGAAAAGAAACAGAAAAGAAAAAAGACATTGCTATCTGGAGAGGAGGAACAAGGATGAGCCACGTCAGCAGTCACCTCACACCAGTGTTGGCAACCAAGCACCATCCTATCCACCCCCACAACTTGCCCCCATTTAATAAAAATCTTCCACCCACACCCCATTGGGGCATTTTGCTCTCTGAGGTCGCCTTCTCTCACTTCTCAAGTGCACCCCACTTTAACACATGTACTGTGCTTTGCTAAATCCTCCTGTCATGCTCTCAAATCCCTTCTTGGGCCGTGACAAGAACCTGGACTCCAGTATCAAGTTGAGGCCTCCCTTGGCGTCCCCAGGGGTCCCCCAGCCTCACCCTCTCCAACCGAAGTAAGCACACGCTCCCGTCTTTCCTGCTGGCATCTCTGATGTTCAGGAAGCCGTTGTTAGTCTGGGGGCCCCTGAGGACATGGAAGCAGCCCAGGGTCCTCTCTTGCAGCCTTCGACCTGGTTTATTTATTTGAGGGTCCTAATGTACGTCGGCCCCTTCTGGGGGCCAGAAGATCGAAAGTGGGTCCAAGTGATTCTATCATCCGGGGGGTAGCTGGAGAAGGTACATGGCACGAGCACGTGCAAGCCCACCTGCAAAGTGACCAACTCTGGCATCTGCAGCTCATGCCCTGCAGGCTCCTCTAGGGCCACTGTGGAGAATCCGACATTCAGCTGTGACATTCAGCTGAGTCTGCTCCCCGCACTTCTGCGCCTCGGCCCACTCGACCTCCCGTTGCAAGGACAGCGGTAGGACCAGGGGTGGCATCTCCGAGACGGGAGGGCCAGTTCAGAACTCCTTCACACTATCTGATCAGCCCTTCCCGACACACATCTGGCATCTATTCCTAAATTTTGCCTTAAACCCTTCCGTCCAACAGGAACACCCAAAACCACTGCATGGAAAGCGAAGGTTCAGCCCAATTCACCCCGAGGACACTTCAGAAATGGGCTCTGTTCCTTTCACTTCCCCCCACACGGACTCCACCACCTTTTGCTCCTGGACACCCTTCTCTACCTTCCCTCAGGAGAGCCAGGAATTTGGGTAATTCTTTCTCCATGCAGGGGATTCACCTGGGACCATATCCTCCCATCCCCTACTCATCATCAGCCTGGGTCAGGGCACATATGGAGCCTTGTGGAGCCCTGGCCATATAGCTCCCAAATTACCCTTGTTCCTATGCCCGATGCTTCAACACGAAGGCCAGTATTTAAGAGGTCAGAGTTTGGAGTGTCACGTAAATAACATCCAAACCTGTAAGAATTTTTTTGAGTTTATTTGAGCCCAACTGGCAATTGCCAGGAAGCAATATCTCCATGGACTGAGGAAATGCTCCAGAGAATGGCAGTTTTGCGGTTTATCTTGGACATCACCGTCACAGGAGGAGGCACAAGGCAGGTTACATGGAATTCCACGGGAGGTAGATGAGCGAGAAAGCAAAGGGGAAACTCCGAGTTTGGATAAAGAGCGAAAGGAAGAGACACGCACTTCCTTAACAATGGCGGGTACAGGAGAGCTAACAATGAACATCTGCAGCACATCGAGATAGTATTTGGGCAACAGGATAACAATGAGGGGTTTGTGGTCTCTTGCTCTGGTGGGAGATTGTGTCTGAGGGGTTTGGAAAAGGGGGCATTACTCTTGTATTTCAAAGGTGTGTTACTGTACATGCAAAAAGACAATAGACAAGCTCACTTAAGGTCCAGATCGACCTGTGTCAAGGAAGGTGTCAGCCTAGGACATGATTACCCACTATGACTCCCTTTTAGTTAAGAAGTTTTAATTTCAGACCCTCCTATGTGGTTACTTTAGACCTCTGAGCTTGTAAGGCCACCACGCAGGCCTCTCCTGAACTTGTCAGGTTTACGATGTGGCCCTTTTTCACCCACAGGTTCGAGGAGGAGCCTGCCTCACAGACCCTCCTTGGGATTCCCGACAAGCTCTACCTTTGTAGCGTGGTTTTCCTCTCCCAGAGAGGACCAAGACAGCCTTGCCCTCTGCTTCTCTCACTGCCCTGAACTCCTCCTCGGCCACCCTCTCAGACCTCTTCTCTCCCAGGTTTTGGAGCCACATGGGCTCTTGCAGCAGGTCCTGAAGTTTCAGCCCCGTCACACATGATCCAGCCCCTCACCTCCTGAGACTTCATCCATTGGGATCATGACCTCCCCCCTCCTTGCTGTGTCTCCTTCCACCCAATAAATGCTTGGCCTGCTGAGCTTCTTCACCGAAAACCATCTGACTTGTGGTTCCATGAAACCACGATTTCCCTTCCGAGTTTAGGAGCCAGACAATGGGATGAGGCTCAGAGACAGCCAGATGGAAGAGATATGCAGGGCAAGGTGTGGAGAAAGGGCTTCAGCGCCCTTTCCCATCAAGTGCACCATTTTCCTAAATCTCCACATGTTCACCAACCCGGAAGCTGTCCAAACCCTGTCCTTCTGAGTTTTTAGGGAGACTTCAGTATATAGGCGCGGTTAATTAAATCACTGGCTGTTCCCTCTAAACACTTAGTTGGTTCCCCTGGCACCCAGCCTCCATTCTCAGATACTTTCCCAAAGTCACTTCGTCATAACAAAAGACACATTTATTGCTTTCATCACTTAGGAAATTCCAAGAGTTTGGGGAGCTTTGCCAGAAACGAGGATGAAGATTAAATATTTTGTGTGACATTTCTTATTATAAATCACAGTATCACAAATATCTACCTCAGTCATTCTCAGTCCAATGATGCAAACTTCCTACAATATAATGTGAATACAATGCAAAGGAGTAACAGGTACAGTTGCAAATTTCTCAAGAGATGCAAAATTTTATGAGGTCAATGATTAAAAATAATGTCTGGAAAATGTGCCAATAGCATGAATTTGGAAGGATACAGAAGAGTTAGACCCATTACTGTTATAAAAGCAACAAGAATGATGACATGATGATTTAAAATAGAACAAACTGAATATCAAAGGATTTTACTAATGGTTTGGGTGGGGGGGATGTTGAAATCCTCAAACACTTTTGCAAACATTGACCTTATGCAATTTTTTCCTGAGCACATCATAGAAACCTAATAGATATTTATTGAATGGATGAAATAAAATAAGTATTATTTTTCTCATGTGACAGTTCGTTTTTATTATGTAACAGTACTGTTTTAAATATTTTGCACGTGATCATTTAATTATCCAATCCTCACAACCTTATGAAATAGGAAATTGCAGTACAGAGAGGTGAATTAACGGGCCCACACTTGAACACATGGCTTCAAACCCAAGCAGTCAACTCCAGAATCTTTGTGCGCCTTTGTTGCCCCTTTTTCTTTGTCTCTACCATTGAGCTCTCTCACCTGCAGGACACTGGAGAAGCGCCAATCCCTGTTTTGTCTGTGTGATTGACACCAAGGCCCTCACTAGGCTGAGCTGGACCCTGTAGAGGCAAGCCCGGAGCCTAGGGGCTGGAGCTGCCCCCCGCGGAACCTGGCGCTGGAGGGGAGTTCGGCCAAGCCCACCCAACACCCTCTGGGCTCCCAGCATGTCTCCATTAGCTTCTCTGTGCAGAGTTAGTCGTGGGAGGGAAGAAGGATATCTGGACTCTGAGAGCGGGGTTTTAATCCGTGTGAAAATACACAGAAAAGGTATTTTTCAGAATAGATAATGTCAGTTTGTCCTAGAAATAGACATCCATTTACTAGGTCTCCCGCCAACGTGAGGCAGCCCCCAAGACTTTACTCCGAGATTGCAAAGGCAAAACCTGGCTGTACGGAATCAAAGTTCTCTTAAAAATGGCGGCCTCCAGAGCCACGTCGGTCTCCTGTCAGTTCCTGGAAGAAAATGAACTGTGGGGTAGGAACGACGTAAGACGCCATGGTAACTATTGGCAGGATGTGGCTTCAAAAATTCTAGTGAGCATGCGCACAATTCACCCACGTAGAACGCGACTCCGAGCAGCCATTCTGTTTACGTGATCGACTGTTTCTAAATGTGTGGGACGCGCAGGTGATGTGGAACACAAGCAGTGGGGATTAGTGAGGTGCAATCAGCTTGGTGTGAGTGATGTAAGGGTTGGGGGACGAGTGACGTGGGTCTGGGGAGTGAGAGATGGGGGAATCTGTGGGGTGGAGTTCTTAGTGATGGGGGGCTGTGAGGTATGTTGGGGGGGTTCGAATTGAAGTTGGGAGATTGACTCGTAAATTTTCATTCTTTGCGCCTTTTTTTTGGCAGGCATATAAGTATTTTTTGTAACTTAAATTCCAAGTGTTCTTTAGTATCAGATTTTATAGAGGTAGTGATGGATCCGGGAGCAGGAGCTTCGGGGATTGGAGGACTTTGAGGGACACATTGTGACTCACTTGGGTGGGGGGCGGTGATTGGAGACCTGTGAAATCGGTGAAGTGGGGGCTCAGGGTAGCATATGGGAACCAGTCGACTGCATTGCTTCCTGGGCAGTGAGTGTTGGGGTTCTTCAGGGATGGATGGTACTTAAGTGCTGGCCTCTCCTTGGGCGCCTGCGGTCGCGGTTAGGGTCAGTGATCGGCGGCTGCGCCGATCGGTGATGGCTTCCTTGTGGGGTGCGTTATTTGGAACCCCATGTTGGGGGTTATTTGGAACCCCATGTTGGGGGTTATTTGGGGTCCTGTGGAAATCACACTCTCTGGGACACAGTTACTGGCAATCAAGGTAGTGATGACCTCAGGAGCCGGGCCTTGTCCGAGGCTGGGAGGCATTTCCAGGCCTGGCAGTCCTGTGGTCCACTCACTGCGGATTTCTGGAACTTACATTCCGTACAGTCAGACCTGCCAATGCCTGCCTTGGGGGTGTAGTGGGTCAGGGGCAGTTCATGTGGACAGGCCCGAAATGGTCAGGGATTAGGGGGCCTGATGCGTGTCTGTGGCTTTGTTAGGTCGCGGTGAGGTTGAGTGCAGTGAATTTGAATTTTTGTCAGAAAAGACAGGGCTGTCTAGGGTGTTACGGATGAGCACTGAAAATGCCCAGAAGCTTGGATTAGTCATACCCAACACGGCCAACTAAGTCTCAGCTCTCTGAAGACGACAGGAAATAAAAACGGTTTTTGGAAGCTGTCTCTGTAGGGGACCGCACTGGATGGGGGCAGGCGTGTGCAGTCTAGAATGAGGTGGACACGGGGCTGATTCCCTTCGCAGACGGAGTGACCTCAAGGCGAGTTATGTAACAGCATCCAGTACCTGACTTGCAACTTGCTGATTTTTATTCAGTGTTTACTAAATACCAAGCAGGTGCTGAGGGGTTAATAAGCCGCACGTCATGTAAGTTTCCCAATGCCTGTGCTAAAAACTTTCCTCATTTTGAAAACAACTAAAGTAATAGCTTCATATTCCCACCACTAAAAGGGTGGCAAAGCTGCAATTAAACCTTCCTTAAGCTTAGTCAAAACTCATGGTCTTTTCGTTATTTTTCACTAATTAATAACTAGAGTTGTAGTTTTTCTGAACTTGGCTTATTGCACACACAGTATCTAGTACAGTGAACTTCACTTAAGGGCCATCGGAAATGTTTGTTTAGAGCAAACAGTAGATGAGTGACTATGTGGTCATTGCCTTTCCAGGGCTTCTTGGTGTCTCTTCAGAGCCCCTGGGTCAGGCCATGTCTTCGTGGCTATAGGATCTCCCTTCACAGCCTGGCCTCTTCCCAGCAGCTCTGACTGGAGCCTCCAGATGCTCACGCAGCTCCGGGCTCCTGGGAAAAGTGGGGTTGTCTGCAAGAGAGACCCAGAGCAGAAGCCCAGAGAGGACATGGCTGCTGATGTGAATTTGCCCCCGAGGCCGCAGGTGCCGGGTCCAGAGGAGCAGGATGGATTATGTGAGGTAAGCAGGGGCAGCCCCAGGGACAGCTGTCGAGAACTTCCAGGCAGACACAGGAAGGAGCCACATCTGGACTCCCTGTGCATGAGACGGTCTGGATCGTCCTGTGCTGAGAGTGGACCACAGGAGGCTGACGTCAGCTCATGTTCACAAGCCGTCTGTGTTATAGAGGAAACTGAACTGGCCAATGAAGGACGCTGTGTTAGAGAAGAGGGCCCTGGGTCAAAGGAAGAAAACTTAGCCCCTGGTCTGGGTGGGAAGCCCTAGCAAGAATATGCTAACTCCTTCCTGCTCAGCACAGGCTAAGAGCCTTCATCTACCACTGGGCCTTGGCATATTCTCAGTTGGTCCCCACCTGACTCCTACTTAACCTGCTCTGTTGGGTGGGCTCGTCTCCCCTCTGTCTTCACAGTTTTCAGAGTCATAGGATCCTAGAGCAAGAACTGCCTTTAAGAACCATGTGGTTTTTCCCATTTTAAGAGTCGAATAAGAATGCCAGAGAACAGTGTTTTAAAAACGGCCCATAGATACTAATATTTGGGAATGAGAAGGCAGGATAGTTGGACATACTAAAGATTTCCTGAAGTTCTATGTTTTTCTGTATATTTATGACACTTTGTGTGTTTTAAAATAATAATGAGTAGCCGTAATAATTAGTGCATCATTGTCCTGTGATAGGTTTATACTCAAATTACAGAGATGTTCTATTTTAAAAAGTTATGATAAATGCATGGCTTTTTATCACTGTAAACTAATATATTGTGAGAAGATATATGTTTCTTAAGTGTTTTCAAAATCATCTGAACCTGATGGAATATTTTATAATAGAAGACATTAAAAGTAACATTAATATTATTTTTAAAAAATTAAGGACTTGTCTGTGCATGTATCTTTCCTATTTACCAACGATGACTAATTCACATAGAGCTGGGGTAATTCACCTAGGGATCAGTGTCATTTGAGGACGTGACCGTGGACTTCAGTAGGGCGGAGTGGCATCAGCTCACCCCTGCCCAGAGACGCCTGTACCTGGACGTGATGCTGGAGATCTACAGCCACCTCTTCTCTGTGGGTGAGCACACACGCCCTGGGAATCCTGGATGGGCCTCCTTGACGTTTCCTTCCTTGTGGAGTGCCATGGGGCCATCTGTAGGACGGAATTGCTTTGTCTTTGGTTTTGTCCTAAACGGTTCCTTCTTTTGGGGCGTCTGAAGTAGCACTGTGCTCTTAGTGAAGGTGTTGCCTTTTCTGCGGAGTGCATGCAAGGCTTCATTGAGTGGCCTCTAAAGCCCAGGACTGCATCTGAGTGCAGTATGTGTGCTTATTAACAGGGTGTCACATTCCCAACCCAGAGGTCATTTTCAGGATGGAGAAAGAAAAGGAGCTATGGGGAGGCGAGGCTGAACTCCCACATCGGAGGCACCAAGGTGAGTGCCTGGCAGACATGGATACCTTTGGGGCCGTTATTCAACCTACCACACTCATCCATTCCCACACTGGTGGACACTTAGGTTGCTTCCTACTCCCAGCCCCTGCAGCTGATGATCTTGTAGATGCCCCCAGGGGCTGGCGTCAGAATTTCTTAGGTGAATACTCTGGAGCCAGACGGCCCGATCATAGGATTTACGTACGCTCCATTTGACTGATAAACCGTATTGCTCTACAGACGGGCTGCACAATCTGTACTCCCCTGTGCTGTGCACAAGAATTCCAGTTCACATACCTTGCTTGCCAACACTTAGCATTTACTACATTTCTTATCTATAACCCATGTGATGGGTAAAAAAAGGGCTCTTCCATGTCTTGATTTCATTTTCCTCGTAACGGTCAGACGATCTCATCGTATCTGTTATCTGATTGGGTTTTCCAAGTGTACGTTGCTTTTGTTGTATTATATTATCCCTTTGTGTCCATGGGGTTCTCTCAAGGCTTTTTTTCCTTTTTATTTGGACCCCAAGTTCACCGATTTTTCTTTCCTTTGCTGGGTCTCCCTTCTTCTCTTTCCTCTGATTGTGATGTCTCCAGCTTGGGGCTCTATGCTTCCCTCTGGTCATTCTTTCGAATAGGACTTGCTTTAGAGGCCCCTTCTATTCTGATCCTTTGGCCTCATAGTTTTCTGATGATCCCTGTACCAACCCCCCCAGTCCCCGTGCCTACACTGTGTTCTGTTGCCCTGTTTAGCTACGTGGTGACGGTTCCCATGGGATGACTCCCTTTATTTTTTGGAGATCAGAAATTAAAGTACTGTGCATGCCAATCTGAAATTCTTCTCACCCTATGTAGGTCATTTTGTCAAATTCTTACGTCTTTCTTAGCTCTTCCAGCTCAGTCTTCTAATTTATTTTAGGAATCCTACCATTTTTTTCTTTTTGCACTGAAAGTTTAGTTGATCCTTTTTCCTAATGCCAGTGGTATCACCACAAAGCAGCTCTCTATTTTCTGAGGCTTGGGTTATTCTGTTCCTAAGGAGATTTGTGGATTCCCGACATTTATTATGTGTTCAGCCAAGAGGCTATTTACATATTTTATTACCACAAATATTGATATTTTGTTACTTTTTCACGAAAAATATTTTAATACAAAATACAGTTACAGAAAAATATAGTTATTTCAATGACATTATCACCATAGCCACATATTTCAAATTTAAAAATGTATCCGACTAGTTTCATTACTCATCCTCTACTTCATTGTTTTCACATGTTCTTCATATAAACATAATATATACAGGCAATATATATTGTCTGTTAGGTGGTTCTCTCTACCTATGATCCTTTTATTATTTTGTACTCTCCCTACTTAATTTTCATTATGTCAGTCTTAAGCATGAAACCACTCAGGGTATAAAAATTATTGAATTTCTGAAGATGGGCAGAAAAGAATATTTTGCTTTATTTAGAAAGATTAAATACCTGCTAAAGTAAATTCAAAGGATCAGAGATTGTAATTGAATAGAGTGGATAACAGCATGAGATGTTAAAATCATTAGGCTTTTTGGCATTAGTCCTATCTATTTAATGAAAGACTACTCAAACAATAAGTGACTGCTTTTGAAGGTCAGGAAAAAAACGGTATCATCTTAGAGGTGCAGGGACACTGGGAGGCAATTTTAAGAGCACAGCACTTACAGCTGGTCATAAAGCCATTTTGAATTAAAGGAACAGGCAAAATGGGGATAGAGGACATAAATACATGCTTGGATTTGGGAATAAATTGGACTTATTTTGAAGCAACAGTGTTAAGCTGTGCTGGAGAATATGGATAAGCTTTTGGCACAATTCTGATGTTTTATATTGAATATCTTGGGCACTGGATTGAATATCAACTAGTTCAGAAAGAAGTGAAAAGTTAAAAATGTTCCAAAGAGACACCTGGAAACTCGGGGTGTTAGATACTCAGAATAAATGAAAGCCAATGTTTGAGTAAAATTGCTATTTAAGAGTGAAAAATGCAATTTAAAAAAAAACAATTAAAATATAGGTAAAGGCGTTGAATAGCCATTTCTCCAAAGACAATATACTAATAGTCAACAATCAACCATATGAAAAGATGCCCAACATCACTAATTATTAGCGGAATACAAATCAAAACCACGGTGTGATATCACTTCACACTCATTAGAATGGCTACTATTAAAAAAAAAAAGTAGTAAGTGTTGGTGAGGATGTGGAGAAATTGGAGCCGTTGTGCACTTTTGGTGGAAATGCAAAAATGGGGCAACCACCGTGGAAAATGTGGCAACTCCTCAAAAAATTAAACACAGAAATAACATATGATCCAGCAATTCTGTTTCTGGGTATATATCCAAAAAAAAAAAAAATCAAAAGCAGAGATATTTGCATACTATGTTCATAGAAGCACTATTCACAATAGCCAAGAAGCGGAAACAACCCACTTGTCTATTGATGGAAAAATGGATAAACAAATGTGGTATGTACATACCATGTAATATTATTCCTCCTTAAAAAGGAATTCTGACATGCTATAATACGGATGATCCTTGAGGACATTGTATGTGAAATAAGCCAGTCACAAAAAGACAAGTATTGTATGATTCCACTTATGTGAGGTTTTCTAGAGTAGTCACATTCGTAGAAACAAAACAGAAGGGCAGTTTCCAGAGGCTGAGGGGAGGGGCCCAGGGGAGTTGTGTTTCATGAGTGTGGAGTTTCAGTTTCACGAGGTGAAAGGTTCTGGAGAGCGGTCACACAACAGTGTCAATGTACCTAACACGACGGAGCTGTAGACTTCAGTGGTTAAGATGGTAAATTTTATATTGTGTTTTTACCACAATAAAGATAGGTAATGATGAAGTTAAAGAGCATTCTCATTATTTTTTAAAAAGCAAGAGATGAATGAGGTTGGACAAGGGGTCTGGAATATAGTTTATCCAAAACTGATTGAAAGTCAAAGGAAATAAGATGTGATGGTCATATCATACTCGTATTTAAATTTCTAGTGGGGTGTTAGCCACTTTTTTTTTTTTTTTTTTGCTATGTCTTGTGTTCTATACAAGTAAATTAGATGATCAGTGATTCCTGTTCTTGGCCACCCTCCGCCTGAAAAAGGTATCTTTGGTAGCATAAAGCTGAAAGTTATAACAAAAAGAAAACAAGGTCCGGTATAATAATTTCTCTCCTACGGTCTTTTTTTTTTAAGATTTTATTTATTTTTAAAGAGAGGGGAAGGGAGGGATAAAGAGAGGGAGAGAAACATCAATATGTGGTTGCTCTCTAGACCTGGCTGCTGTGGCTCAGTGGATTAAGTGCTGGCCTGTGAGCCAGGGGGTCTCCAGTTCGATTCCCAGTCAGGGCACAGGCCTGGGCTGCAGGCTGGGTCCCTGGGGGAGCGGGGGGAACACGTGAGAGGCAACCAGATATTGATATTTCTCTCCCTCTCTTTCTCCCTCCCTTCCCCTCTTAGAATAAATAAGTAAAATCTTTAAAAAATAAATTTTAAAAAATAAACAGTTCTAAAAGGCAGGTCGTCAGGAAGCCTTCCTTTCTGTATTCCCTCAGGTCTCTGAGTTTTTCTCTTGTCGTTGCTGCACTGTCCCTTATGCTAATGTTGTCTGTATGATGGAAGGTGTACTGCCTCGCGAGCAGGTTCTACTTGGCAGGAAAGGGGTGGAGGGTACAGAGAACCCGTGGTTTACCATCCTGGCCCAGAGCTGGCACATAATGTTATATGCATATTCCATCAGCAAAACCAGTCTTGTCACATTTCATTGCAAAAGAAACTGTGAACTGTTCTGTAGCTTGGCAGCCACATACCTGGCCACAATTAACTTCCGTGGAGGCGGGTGAAACAGATTCTAGGGGAGAGCTTGCTTGTCCGGTCTTTCCACGTACCTTTCTTGGGATATGTAGATATTCCTGGATTGAAAAAAAACAAATTTCAACTCCACAGAGAGTTGACTTTGGTCATACGTATTCTTTAACTGCTTGGCTATGTCAGGATTGACACTTCAACAGATTTTTTAGAGGATATATATGGCTGATTTGGTATTGTTTCTAACAAGAGCAAGGGAGCTGGGAGATTAATAACAACTTAGATCTTAAAGCCTGCTGGAAATGCAAGGGGCAGTTCTTCCTGCTGGGGTGTGTGATAAACCTCCAGTGGTAATGCATGAGAGGCTGCCTTTTGGTCTGGAGACACCATTTTAGACAAGGTTGCCTTTATTGAGTTTTACAAAGACCTATACTCTGAGCCTCTTCCTTCAAGCCTTGGCTATTCACAGATGTTGCCCTAGAGCACCCTTGTCTGTCTTTGTCTGTCTTACCTTTTATCCTGTAGTCATCTCACTAGGTTTGGGTATCTCAACTGCCTGCATAAGCGGAGCCAGGTTGCCTTTGTTTAAGTCTAATTTCCCCCATTGGTGAACAAAGTGGTTTCGACCACTCACCCACCCATCCGTTGCCTCCTTTTCTTTCTCTGTAACATGGGGATAATGAGTGTGGTCACCTCCTAGGTTGTTGGGAGGATTAAATGAGTTTATGTGTGCATCACATAGAACATTTGCCTGGCAAATGCAAAGTGCTATGTAGATAAAGGCTGGACGCATAAGGGCCGTGAGACTGCTTCATCACCACCACCACCACCACCACCGTTGTTATGCGACTCAGCTCTTTCCCTGTCCTCTAACTACTCATGTCTGTTTCATCTTTTTCTCCTTCTAGATACGAAGTTTGGTCTCAACACTCCACAACAGGACATTTCTGGAACAGCTTCATTTCATGGCCTGGCTGGCAAGGTCACAAGAGGTGGTTCTTGGTGTTCCGTTTTAGCAGAACTGTGGAAGGATGCTGGCCGTACCGTGAGAGATCAGCCAAATCAAAATGAACCTTCGCATCAGAGGGCTTTCCTCAACAAGAAAAAAATGAATACAGAGAAAGATTGTGAATATAAGGACCCTGGGACAATCATTCACGTGAGGCCCCACCTTGTTCCTTCGCAAAAAAGATGCCATAAACGTTCACTTGCAAGAAGTTTGAAGCCTAACCTAGAATTAAATAGTCAAAATCAAAGCAACACCACAAAACACCTTGATGAGATTGTGGGATCTAGTCAGCTACTCACCCGTAGCTCTTCCCATGCCAACTGCAAGAATATTCACACAGGAAAGAACTTCTGCAAAGGTAATCAACGTCCAAAAGTCCTCAGCCACAAACAGTCACTCACACAACCTCAAACTCATACTCTGGAGAAACCAGGTAAGTGTACCGAATGTGGGAGGGACTTCACCCAGAAGCCGCGCCTCCTTAGGCAACAGAGATTCCATAGTGTAGAAAACCTCCAGGAATGCAGCAAATGCAGAAAAGCCTTCGCCTCGCAACCAAAGTTTGGTGACTATCTGACAGATCACATAGGCAGCATACCTAATATATGTAAGGAATGTGGAAAAGTCTTTGTTCAGAGGTCAGAGTTGATTACACATCAGAAAACTCACACTAGGAAGAAACCCCATAAATGCCATGAATGTGGAAAAGCCTTTTTCCAGACGCTATCTCTCTTCAGACATCAACGAACTCACATGAGAGAAAAACTATACAATTGCAGCGAATGTGGGAAAGGCTTCTCCCAGAATTCGACCCTCATTATACATCAGAAAATTCATACTGGCGAACGACAGTATGCGTGCAGCGAATGTGGGAAGGCCTTCACCCAGAAGTCAACGCTCAGCTTGCACCAGAGAATCCATTCAGGGGAGAAGTCGTACGTGTGCATCAAATGCGGGCAGGCCTTCATCCAGAAGGCTCACCTAATTGTGCACCAAAGAAGTCACACAGGAGAGAAACCTTATCAGTGCCACAACTGCGGGAAATCCTTCATTTCCAAGTCACAACTTGATATACATCATCGAATTCACACTGGGGAGAAGCCTTATGAGTGTAGTGACTGTGGAAAAACCTTCACCCAAAAGTCACACCTCAACATACACCAGAAGATTCATACTGGAGAAAGGCACCATGTATGCAGTGAATGTGGAAAAGCCTTCAACCAGAAGTCAATCCTCAGCATGCATCGGAGAATCCACACCGGAGAGAAGCCTTACAAGTGCGGTGACTGTGGGAAGGCTTTCACTTCTAAGTCACAATTCAAAGAGCATCAGCGAATTCACACTGGAGAGAAACCCTACGTGTGCACTGAATGTGGAAAGGCTTTCAACGGGAGATCAAATTTCCATAAACATCAGATGACTCACACTAGAGAGAGAACTTTTGCCTGTTGCACGTGTGGGAATGCCTTCATCCAAAAATCAGAGTTGACGACACATCAGAGAACTCATATTGGAGAGAAACCTTATGAATGCCGTGACTGTGGAAAATCCTTCAGTAAGAAACCACAACTCAAAGTGCATCAGCGAATTCACACAGGAGAGAGACCCTATGTATGTACTAAATGTGGGAAGGCCTTCAACAATAGGTCAAATTTTAATAAACACCAAACAACTCATACCAGAGACAAATCTTACAAAAGCAGTTAATTCTGTGAAAGGCTTCACCTGGAAATCAATACCTAGTACAAATTTTTGTATACATAAATGAAACAAACTCCAAGTCTCTTGAAGAAAAATATTTCATGAGTCAAATTTAATTGTATGTTACAGAATTTATGCTCCAGAAAAATTCTAGGAAATGCATTGCGTGTCATAAGTCACACATTATTTTATGTGAGGGAAACTCCCAAAAAAGAACTTTTAACAATGTGTGAAATTGTCCATATTTGTACTACCTTTGTTAAGGATTATAAAATTCACCTGGGGAAGAAATCTTGGCTAATGTACTGAGAAAAATATTTCTATAGAAAGGGATGACAGTTACCAGATTATTTATAGGCTGGTTTGTGGCTAATCATCTTAATGATAACCCTGTTTAATGTGAGATATCAATATTTTTAAAAGTGTAAGCAAACTGAATGATGACTGGACAATATTATGGATGTATGTATATGGTATCTGTTTATATAAGTATATGTAGTATCTGCATATATATATGCAGTCAGGTCAATATATGTGTATACACACATACACACACCCACGCCCCACCCAGTTCTGTAGTGTCTGCTACAGAATCTGCGTAACAGGAGGTGTGGGTAGATTATATATTTTTTAAAGAATTCAACTGTTTATTAAATTTATTCCCTATTGCTATTTATATCCTGAGGTTGCACAATTATTTACATAGACGTATGAACTTACATTTTTGGTAAATGCATAAATGTGACTGTATAATGTATACTGGTCTTCACAGTGTAGTTTCTTTGTTCATGAGTAGCTCAGCTCTACCCTCCCTTTTCTTTCTGCCTCCACCATCTGTGATGAGCCCCTCATAGGTAACCAGCGTATGGACTGGTTATGGGCTCTTTCATATTTGTATACAGACTCCTAGTCATGTACACCAGGAGTGAGCAAATTGGCCATCGGCTAAATCTGGTCAGACACATGTTCTTTTTTTAATAAAGTTTTATTGGGACACATTCATCCTCATTTGTTTATTGTCTGTGTTTGCTTTTGTGCCCCAGTGGCAGAGTTGAGTAATTGTGACAAAGACCTTATTACCTATAAGCCAAAAATATTTATTCTGGCCCTTTACAGAAGCTTGCCAACACCTGTTATCCACATACACTCATTACCATGCTCATACCTATGTATCAAATAGCAACTCTTTCCTCTGTTTTATAAATACCAAATCAGCAAACGCGTGTGGGCATCTTGTTTTTTTTCATACAGTACAGCTGTTCAACGGCTGCATGGTTTTCTATCATGTGGACATGATGTAAATTTTTATTCTTTTCCCTGCCTTTTTTTTTTTTTTTTTTGGCCACAAAAAGCAGAATAGTGTAATTTCTAAGTGGACATGCCCAGGAGCCAGGCTCCTGTGTTTGATTCTACATCAGTTAGGCAAGTCATTTAATCCATCTGTCCTGGTTTTCAAGAGGAAGGTTACAATAGTGCCTACCCATGAGTCTGCATGAGAAGTAAGGGTGGCAGGGGGGGGTGTTAAGCGCTTGGACCCGTGTGGAGAAAACCAGTGCGTGTTGAATCCGAGTGGGGCCCTGAGCGAATGAATGGAAATGAAAGGGTGAGGATTAGGGGTGGCAGAGCGCAGACGTGAGCTAGACAAGCTCTCCTTTAGTAAGAAACCAGGTGGGATTGGTGGGAGGGCTTCCCTGCAGCCTGTCGGAGGGATTCCGTTCCAGCCCCAGACACCTGGCGCCGGGGCTCCTGGGGCTGGGACGGTGTCCACGGTGAGCTCGGTGTAGAGGGACTGCAGCTCCGCCGCCCATCCTGCTGCCACCTGTGCTGGATGTGGGCCAGGAAGCCAGGACTGGGGGCAGCGACAGCCATGTGAGCCCAGGGCTCCGGGGCGACCCAGGACCAGCCACCCCGTTCCATCCCCAGCTCATGTCTCAGGACCCCGCTCACAGCTGGGGTCCAGCCCCTCCTCCAGCCTGTGGTGCAGCAGAAAAGCAGGTGGAGCCATGAGAGGAGAACCCGGCTGAGTTTCAGCCTTAGAGGGGAGAGGGCAGGGAGGCCAAATGCCTGTCTCTGCTGATGGGGTCCCCGTGCCACAGCCCGGCCTCTCGGGCCAGGGCAGCCGGTGATCCTCACACCGCAGAGGGACCTGCAGCTCCCTGTGCCAGGCTCCCTTGAGCAGGGCCCCCACCTGGCAGCAGTGTCATCGTCCTCACAATCCCAGCCCCAGTGCATGTTGGGAAAGCCATCTATCCTCAGTGGTGAAGTGGGCACAGGGCAAACACCCCTCCAAGGTTGGCTTGCAGGGGGAGCCTGACGATGCAGGAAGAGTTGGAAGCCAGGAATTTCAGGTAACGGGCCCTGCCAGGATCTCCGAGGTTAATTTCTGGGTCGGCCCTTCTTCACTCACCCCTGTAATAACCTCTCCCCTGACTCCCTGATGTCCCCTCACCTGATCCTAGGAGTCTTTTCCCTGACCCTTAAGATGGCCCCTCACTTGACCCTGGCATATCCACTCCCTGGATCATCTGACAGGCCCATCTTGTGACCCCAAATTGGCCCTCTTATCATTCATTCCCATCCTCTGACCTCAGTTAACAACCCATCTGCCTACCATTTTATTGAGTGCATCCTGTCTTTCTCATTAATAACCAATTCCACCCCCACGTGACACCCACACCCAAGAGGAAGATTCTTCACTGCCTATGATGTCTTTCCCAAGGCTCCACTGTCCCCTCCGTGCCTCGACCCCAGGGATCAGAGCAGGGCCTGGCCAACAGTCCCTCTCCCTCCACCTACTTGTTGCTGAACTTGTCAATGGCCACAGATACACGGGCAGGGAAAATGTCACAGATGTAGAGGTTATGGTCATCCTCGGGGAGTAGGTTCATGTCATGGAAGAAGACACAGTCCCAGTCCCCTTCTTGCGTGGCCTCCCAGAGCCCCACACTGTGAAGTCTGCCCCGGGTGGAGGCAGTGTCGTTCACTGGGATGGACAGAGATGCTCGGGGCTGTCTTCACCAGCGGGCAGTACTGTGCTCCCACCTGCCAGGCCCATCCTCTCCCACCTTAGCAAGTACTTCTACCTGGAACCCCTTCTTATTCCCACTGTTGAGCTGAACAACCCACACTTGTCCAGGAAGGTGTAATTCAAAGGTTACCTTCCCTGGGAAACTTTTCTTGGACCCCCGCCCTCATCGTAGGCAGAGTCAGTAGCTTCAGCCTCTCAGCTCTGCCTCCTCAGCCATCTTCAAGGTTCTCAAGGATCGTCACCTTCAAGAGGCTACTGGAGCGGGGCAGAGGCGAGGAGTGATCAGGGACCACCTGGGTCTCTTTCTATTTCTGCTCCAACTTGACAATGACTGGGTCTGCAGCCCAGGAACCATGACAGGGTTTGCCTCTCCTCCTCTTCTTCTTCCTCCATCATTATCGTCTTCTTTATCACCGCCACCTAATCATTACATCATCACTTATCGTCATCATGTCCATCGTCGCCACCAATCACAATCTTCATTATCTTCAGCACCACCGACGTAATCACCTCACCGCCATCGTCACCAGCACCATCGTCGCCATCAGCACCATCACGTCGCCTCCACGAACACGATCATCATCACCACCGTTGGCAGCAGCAGGAGCGTCTTAGTTGTCACCATCAAAACCATCATTACGGTCATCAAAGTCACCATCATGATCACATCGCTTATTGAGCATCTACTACGTGGCAGGCATCAGCCTCGCTGCTATACATTAAGTCGATTAATTTTTGCCACAACCCAGAGGAGGGTTTGGGGGGATAAATGGTGATGGAAGAAGACTTGACGTGGGGCAGTGAACACACAATACAGTGAACAGATGACGCGTTGTGGAAATTGTGCACCTGAAACCCGTAGAATTTTGTTAACCAGTTTCACACCAATGAATTTAATAAAAAGGAAAAGAAATTTCCCCATGATCCAATGATGCAAGAGTTATTATCATTCCTGTCTCATGAATAAGAAACTGTGGCATAGAGGGTAAGTTTCCCAAGTTTATACATAGTTATTCTTGTTATTCTGAATAACAGTGGGATCGACGGATGAACAGACAAACATGGATGGACAACAGGCCTGACACTTAGACCACAGACAGAGCAACGGACAAGGTCCGCATTCAAACAAGCATCTAACTGATTCAAACCCCCTTTAATCTACCCCTTAGCTTTAGTGCCCAGTCTGGCCAGACCTGGTCTCAAAGAAGCCCAGATTCAGTGAAACTGAGCCTTTCCCTCAGACAGCCATTCAAACTGACCCCAAACTCAGCCAGTCGAGACCAAACCTACAGCCCTTGACTCTGATTTCCCCAATTCAAGATCTTCTTGACTCATAAATCCCAGCCCCCAGATACTCTCTGGCCCAGACACTCTCAGCTCAGAGGGGTAACTTCAGCGCTGACTATCCAAGGCCATGCTCCGAGCCCTCTGCCCTCTTGCCCTTGTCCCTCCCCTTTGCTGCCATACCTGGTTCACCACACAGATGGCACAGTGCAGTTGCTGGCGCTGCAGGAAGGGGTGCAAGTGGAAGAACAGGCGCTGCTGGTGTTGGGCTTTCCCATAGTAGGGCACCACTACTGCTGTGTGGTGCTGTGTCCAGGCGTCAGGTGGCTGGTATTGGCCTCTGGGCTCCACCAGTGGGTTCTTTCCCACCACCTCCTCCATTGTCAGGTTCTCTGGAATCATCACCTTCAAGGAGCCACCTAAAAGAGGGAGAGGCCAGAGATAATCAGGAACCTACCCCAGAAACCCCACAACCCAGTTGTACTGAGTTAAATCATTCCCCACCCCCAAATTCCTGTCCACCCAGAACTTCAGAACGTGATCTTATTCAGGAATGGGGTCTTCACAGGCATAATTGGTTAAAACGCACTCATACTGGATTAGAGTGGGGAGAATGACTCTATCCAATGACTGGTGCCCCTACAAGAAGGCCATGTGAAGCCCCAGAGAGAAGGCAGCCATGGAGGCACAAACTAAAGTGATGTGCCTGCAAGCCAAGGAATGCCGAAGGTTGCCAGCAGCCACCAGAAGCTATGAGAGAGGTGTGGGGTGGTTTCTTCCTCAGAACTTCTGGGAGGAACTGGCAGCACCTTGATTTTGGACTTTTGGCTCCCAGAACTGTGAGAGAGTAACTTCCTGTTGTTTTAAGCCACCCAGTTTGTGGTACTTAGTTACAGCAGCTCTGGAAACTAATATACCAGCACAAAGAGCTCTGAGCTTCCTCTGTTGGCTCAAAAGTGCTCTGCCCTCCTGGTTTTCCCTTCATCTCTCAATATCTCCTCCTCCAATTCTTCCCCCCTCTCTCCCCCAGTTCCCATGCATTCCTTTTCCCCACTCCTATTGCTTTTCTTCTGTAGACCTCTATGGTCCTAAATCTGCCTCCTGAGCTCCAACCCCAACCAGCCTCCCACATGTCTCCTCCTGGATGGTTCTCAGGCTGCCCACTCTCCCTATATCTCAGGATATCATCCTTCTCAGTTTCCCCATCACTAAGGGCTCCATCACCCACCCATTCACCCCCAGCTGTGCCTCCTCTCTGTCCATGTTGGACCATATTTTCCCAAAGATGGCCACAATGTCTCTTACCCAACATGCCCTTCTTATAATGTGACTTTGACATTAGTCCTATTGAGAGATGTGTCTATGTCCCCACCCCTTTAAACTGGGTATGCTTTTATCACTGTTTCAATGAGTGGAGTATAGCAGAAGTGATGGTATGGGCCTTTTGAGGCTCTATCATAAAAGGCCATACGGTTTCTGCGTTGTTTATGCAAATACCGGTTTTTGAAGCCATCTGCCACTGTGTAAGCTCTAGGTCACCATGTTGTGAGAAAGCCCAAACTAGAGCATTGCAGAGACACCAACAGAGAGCCCCTGACATCACATGAAGCTCCTGCCACATCGCCCCCTGCTGTTGAAGCTCTAGCGCATTTCACTGAAACTGCATTAAAAAACATG